AAATTATAATACCGTTATTTTTTAATATAGATGTTGGCAGTAAAATTCAGCGGCAACTTCCTAGTGAACGTTTTGGGTGTTTGGGCTGACGTGGGCGGCGGCGGCCCGGCGCGAGCTGCCCCGGTGGGCGGGCTGTGCTACTACCTGTCCCCGCCGGAGTCCCTCGCGCACATCGCACACGACCCCGTGCACGCCCTGCTCTACGTGCTCTTCATGCTAGGCTCTTGCGCCTTCTTTTCAAAGACCTGGATCGATGTGTCTGGCTCCTCAGCCAAAGATGTGAGTTCCCAATTGTCACTTGACCTGTCTTTGCTAGGCAACCAATAGGACTGTGTCAGTTGCTTAAAATTATCAAATTATCAATTACTGCAATCAGTATTCTAATAACAGCAAACCTCGTACACTGCCCATTCTTAAAAATGTGCAATAAATTCTTACCTATTAATTGAAACTTATTAATATAGTATTAGAATAATCAAAATAATGTACACAATCAAAGACGACATAATATCTATTTACCTAATTATTTATTAATTATAACAAATATTATGAAAAGTTGGAAGCTGGAAGTTATATAATAGTTTAAAAATACTGACTTATAAGCAATTCAAATACTACTCATGATATTGCATTATCTGAATTCAAACTTCGCTTATTTACAGTAAGACTTAGATACATCAAAAATATAAATATTTTAAAGTTTTTAGTTACCTATATGTAATTATGTAATGGAAAATGTTAATGCAAATAGTTTTACATCAAGGAACCTCTGATTATTTGATTCGGGCTTCAAGGTTCAAGGTGAATAATGAAATTAATGAAAAATGACGAGAGCTAACAGATGTCTTTAAACCAATAATTTTAAGACTAAGATCTAACCAATATAATAACGACAGCTGTAGCTATCGTCACAAGCGATAAATATTATATTTATAATAACAGGTTGGGGAAAAAGTCTTTTCGCACTATAGTATGTATGAACTTGTAATACAATCTCTCGGGCTATACTGTTTGTATCTACTGCTTTAGGTATCATTAAAAGTTTAAATTTTAAAGAAGATAATTCAGATTTGATTTTGATCAGAAGCCCCAAAATTTCTATAGCAATGGGATCATGTCCCTACCTAAAATGGTACGTATATACTTTAGTTAAATGTAGTATATTAAAAAATGTTGTGAATTTTCTTAAAAGATGTGAAGAAACTTTTCCCCAACCTATTATTATATATATGTTTTAAATCACACTTTTTAGTTCACTTATGCCAAACTGCATTAAAATGACTATTTGAATAATTACGAAATGTCGTTTAGGTGGCGAAACAACTGAAGGAACAGCAGATGGTGATGCGCGGTCACCGCGACAACTCCATGATCCACGAACTGAACCGCTACATTCCGACGGCGGCCGCGTTCGGAGGACTGTGCATCGGGGCTCTGTCAGTGCTGGCCGACTTCCTCGGGGCCATCGGCTCCGGCACTGGGATACTGCTCGCCGTCACCATCATTTACCAGTACTTCGAGATCTTTGTCAAGGAACAAGCGGAGATGGGCGGCATGAGCACACTGCTCTTCTAAGTCTCGTAATGATAGCGGCAGTCGGACCGCTGCGTTCAGCTCCGTTTTTATTGTCGTTTCTGCTCTGAATCGACATCATTAGGTGTACGTTTTCATATCTGGTAGTGTTGGATGTGAATACATCGTTGTACTTTATCGAAAAAATTAGATTTAAGATTTAATATTTGTTGAGTTGAAGGCAGCGCTCCTACCGGCGTAGTGTTGTGTGCGTGGCGGCGCGTGCGTGGATGATGTGCTAATTTATATGAGATGAACTTTATAATAAAAAATACTTTACAAATATGTTTTTTGTTTCTATATATTTATACTCTCAGTATTTTGAAATTTACCACCAACTTAAATTAAGCATTTTATCATAGCTTATACATAGGCATAAAGAAGTAAACTTTTTGAATCGTAGACCTGTAATATGGTACCTATATAAATTACAGTGATAAAACTTTATCATAGACAATACTTGTTACTATAATAAGTCTTAACAAACTTAGTCTACACATGTATTTTGTTTGTGTTGAATGAACATGTGTTGTTTTGTTTGGAATTTTTGTTATTGCCAGTCAATGTTTTCCTTTAAAGATGACTCGGCAACATTAGTCTAAATAATAATACCTAATTATACTATAAACATGTTAGATTGGAATTAGAAAATTCGTTGCTGCAGCATTTTTCATTTCTTTTATGATATTCTTTAAAATAAATGAAACGAAATAGTTGTGTTATATAACTTTATTCCCCTCACTAAACACTCAAATATAAGGAAAAAAAATATGATTTCCCACCAAATCTTAACAAAACATTTCACTTTCACAACTAAATACCATGGTAACAAAATTTATGTTTAATACAAAATAATAGAAACCAAATTCTCAAATGCAAGTTACATATCCCAAGGTAAGTTGTAATGAGATCTCAGCAAAGATATATATTTTATGATTTTACAAATTTATTTCGCCATGACAGAACAAAAAAATTTAATGTAGAAACATTTTGTACAACAAATTGTTTTTGAAGTTGATAAAATAAAGTATCCGTACATAATTAAGATAAAAATATAAACCGATTTGTGTGCCTGAAAAACATACTTATATGGCACATTTATAAGAAACGGTCCCATTGGTACCCCAACTTTCACTTAGTAAAGTACCTAACAAAAACAGTAAAAATATCACAATACAAAAATCCAAAAGGTGTATCTATAGTACTTCAACAACTACTTAATTAAACTTATCTGCTGGAATTTAAAAAAGTGCAAATTCATGTTGCATTGTTTACCTTGAACGAAATGTTTTCTTGCTATTTGATTCCTTGTTTCTGGGGAAATCTAGGTTTCCTACGATAGGTGGAAAACTATCTTTCTTTATCAATTCCTAATGGCGCGGCATTACGTTCGATAGGTACTTTAATTTACCTACTTAATAGTTTTATGGCTCGTATTTGCTTTTTAGTTTTCGTTGGTAAAACAGTACTAAAATTACGTAAATTCATTTACCTGTGTACACTGTAAATTGGAATGAAAAATCAGGTCTCAGACTACGATTTTATTGGTAATTATTTTAATGTATAAATGTACCTAAATGTTGTTTATTAGGATGAATTGTTGAAATTTAATCTAAAGCACGAGATTATAACGGACGTCGGCTAGTGATTTAAAAATACAAATCAAAACTAAATTCATATCGACCATAAGAAGAAAGTTATATAGACTCAACGGCATACCCTTTGAGTCTATATAACTTTACTGAAAATATAACGTCCCTAAATTAGTAGAATTTAACATATATCGTACTGATACAATAATATGATTATGAATACTTTTACACATAATGGCCACAAAACGCGTTATTAATCCCATTACACTTTAAATTATCCTTTCACATTGCTACGTTGGGTCCAAGTTGAATAGTTCGAAATTAAAAAGTTTGTCCGTCACTAATATCCAGTTTGCAAGCAGCCTATTGAATTGTCAGCTACACCAGGTACGTCCTATTTACATCGGAGATTCATTAGATATTTTATTAACATAAGATTTATCAATAATTTCCTGCAATATAAACTAGGAAACTATCTAGAAACAAAACCTATTATATTATATGTTTTAATGCATTCCTATATTCTTTTTTGAATAATATTATTATAGATTCGTACGTGTTTTTTGAAATAAATTTGTGCGAGAATTTGGTGCACAGATACAAAATTAGACCGCGAGTAATCGAAATTTCAAATTTTTAACGTACGCGACTGTGATATATAATTCCATCAATACATACTTACTTCATGAAAAAAAAAAACAATATTAACAGATTTTTAGGAAATAATAACATTCCGCGTCGATGTTATTATTTTTAATTTCAACTCCTTGCATTGACTTAAATAACTATCTGTATTTTTATCTTCTATTATTCACATTAAAATGCTAAATTATTTCTAAGCAATTCAACATCAAAATTTTAAATGATATACAAATGTGAAAAGCACTTCATAGCTGAATACTTAGCTAACTTATGTATTTACAAAGCTAGTTCTAAGGAATCAATTTCGAAAGGCTGTCATATGCTTTTTATAATAATTGGTGTTTATACATCATGCATTGATTTTTACAAATAAAAATGGTAATATAAAAGGAACTAAACAAAATTATAATGGAGAAAACATTTATTATATTCAACAATATTATACCCGTGATAAAAGAAACAAAGTATAAAAACATTGCCAATCATGGGACAGTCTTAATTGCCTGAAAAACAATTTAAAACAGGGATAGAAATTAATATTTTCACAAACTATTCAGATTTTGTTAATGCATCATATTATAATAATAAATAGTGCGTGTTCTCGAACAAACAAAAAAAAATTAAAATTTAACAAAGATAACAAAAAATTTAGACGGCACACACCAACTGCGCAAGATAACATTGACTGGTTAAAACTAAGTTTAACTATCACTTCAGAACTCGCTAGGTTAATCAATTTGTACATGCATATAATAGCACTTAATTATTTTAAATCTACTACTTCAACTTATGATTAAAATGGTAATTTAGAATCGTAAACTCAACCGGTTAGTTTAACCATTAAGAAACAGCATCGAGGCTTCATTTCAACTCTCCATTTTTACACAAAGAAAGCACTTTTCGTTTATTCATGTGCAGAGAACAATGATATTTGCATGAATTCACATTTAGCGTATTTAGGACGCTCGTGTTCGGCAACGCACATTGTTTACACAGGCGTCTATGTAGAATACGTTTACGTAAATTCATTCTGTAAAATTTAGGCACAAAAACTATTTACATGAGATAAGCTGAACCCAAACATATTGTCAATTTCATGTATGTTTTCAACACTTTAGATTTGTAATTTTTCAGTTTTTCCTGGGGCCTTTTGTTTCTTATTCATAAGTGTGAAANTGTGTTCGGCAACGCACATTGTTTACACAGGCGTCTATGTAGAATACGTTTACGTAAATTCATTCTGTAAAATTTAGGCACAAAAACTATTTACATGAGATAAGCTGAACCCAAACATATTGTCAATTTCATGTATGTTTTCAACACTTTAGATTTGTAATTTTTCAGTTTTTCCTGGGGCCTTTTGTTTCTTATTCATAAGTGTGAAAAACGCAAGCAACATTTTCATCAGCCTCACACGTGCTTGCGGCCAAATCGCGGGTTAGGCAACTGTTTCGATTTCTTCTTTTATAACAGGTGGCTGTTCCGGGGAAGAGATTGCTTTGGGGGCTGTATTTGCATAAGGCATCGTCTTTAACTTTCTCGCCTCTCGTCTCTGTTTCTTCTGTTGCATTACGAGCCTTAATTGTTCTAGTTTGCACTTTGTCTTTGAGTTTTCAATGGCCAGAGCTTTAGCTGTGTCGCATTTCTTGCATATTTCATCGGGGGGCTTAGTGACGCAACTGGCGCAGGCGACAGGAGCGAGTCTAATGCACTGACAATGTGTCAGTTTGCATGAACAGTCTTTTTTGTCGGTGGATGTGGAAGGTAGGTGACCGTCGCATTGTCCATATAAGCATGAAGGTTGACTGCACCCTACACATTTGGTTTGTTCTTCAGTACTAGCACAGGAGTGACTGGGATCCTTCTGTAAACATAATTTATAGAAACAATATTATGAATACTCCTTCATATATTATTCATTTCATATCTGTACCCCACAAAGCAGTTAAAATTTGATGTAACTAAACCAATTTATTTTCAGTGTTTCAATTTTTAATTTCCTCTGGATTTATAATTTTTTTTATATAATTTAAACTTCAAATATCTAAATTTAGTTACCTGAGCTAAAGCAATAGGTGGAGTTGCACATAGTAAATCATTCAGAATATGTATAATTGTAGATATATCTCTCTTTGGTCGTCCATATCTAGAACAAACAAAATTATTGATGAATCACGGCACAATATGCTGAACAAGCATAAGTCGCTTTGCAATCGTTGATACCTTAAGAAAATAAGAACAAAAATTTATTAAATACTCAAGATAAGCAAGATTTTATTTTTAATATTACATCAGCACAGATACATTAGTTTATTTAAATTCTTTTGGCATAGACAGTTATTCTATCAAGACAACCTCTCTGCTAAGTGTTTAACAGAGCCCATAGGTATCAAAACTTGAAAGGCGTCACTGTGCTTGAAAGTTGAAAGGCTTAATTAGATATAGTAATCTTCTAATTATAATTTTTACAGATTTGATTTTTATTACATGATGTTATTCATTGTGGAAGTAATTATGAACTTGAGTGAATTAGTATAACTTACATTTAAAAAATTGTTACTTATCTGCAGAGTTGAACTCTGCACAGTCATTGTTTGAAATGAGTTTGCAAGTTTGAACAAATCTTATATGATAACAGGTTTGTACTAGTGAACCTGCACAGATAGGTACCATCAACTTGTCTGTTTCTTCCACACAGTATACATAGTTGCTAGTTTGAAGGATAGCCATTATTTTACACAATTGATACATAATCCTGTTATCTGAGTCGACTATTATCAAAGCCGGCAATGTGAATTCTGGACAATTATTGGTAAATCAGAAAAACGAATTATTGACTTTGTATTCCATTGGCAGTCACAAAACTCTTCTGAACGACATCTTAGATAAATAACAGGTTAAGTATTTTCAGTTCAGTTTATTTAATGCAGGTTTTGAACCGTATTCTTTGAAGGAGACGATTATATTCAAATCAATCTGTATTGACATATCAATAACATTTTTTTGTCCAAATGCACAGATTGCCACCTTTGATAATAGACGACTCATCTATCAAACGGCCATAAACATACGCCCAGATTCTGATATCATAAACTATCAACCTATAATTTAAAATATAGCTATATAAGTAATATTCACCTGTCCTGAAGTGCAGGATTGAGCGTTCCTGAGAAAGTTCCTGAATATATTCCTTTGCCATGATGTTTCATGGACTCTATCACAGCACCAGGGCCAATCTTGGACCGCATAGTCTCTTCGGCAGTTCTGAGATCAATTTTGTTTGTTAACACTTCCTTTGACAACTTTTTCAGTTTCTGAGTCAAATTCTTTGAGGCCTCTATTAGTGCTTTAGTGTCTACTGTGGGTGTGGGCAACACTCTAGCAGGCTTCTTTGGCGCATCAGGGGGTCTGAAGGATATTTGTTTAGACGTAGAAGGAGTGGCTTGATCNGACCGCATAGTCTCTTCGGCAGTTCTGAGATCAATTTTGTTTGTTAACACTTCCTTTGACAACTTTTTCAGTTTCTGAGTCAAATTCTTTGAGGCCTCTATTAGTGCTTTAGTGTCTACTGTGGGTGTGGGCAACACTCTAGCAGGCTTCTTTGGCGCATCAGGGGGTCTGAAGGATATTTGTTTAGACGTAGAAGGAGTGGCTTGATCATCGGCATTGCTGTTGCTTGGCTGTAGTATAAGTTTCCTTGGGTTTGTTATATATGGTTCTGTTCGAGATGTTGAAGGTTGAGCTGCTATATTATCTTGTCTAGATTGCATTCTCTTCTTGTGTTTGTTTACAACAGACTGCATGAAGGCTCTTTGTTTATTTTGTCCTATGGGATGTTTAAATTTGGAAGTTTTATGAAGTAAATATTGGAATCTCTTATTTTTCAATGGCTCATTTAAACTCTGAAAGGAAGGCAATGTGCCTGTGTTTGATGCCTGTCCATGACTAGTAGTTGCCAAATTTGAAATCTCTCTATCCAACATACATTCATCTTGGTCTCCAAACAAGCCTTTGTCTACAGCACTGTTGAAGAGATTTTCCATAGGATATTCATCTATTGTACTCTCAGCAAGAAACGAGCTTTGGTCAGTGAAATTGTCATTGTCATCACTAAATGAACTATCAGATGCATGTGATGATGTTGAAGGACATGCTTTATCAGTCATACCACTTGTTGATGGGACAGGTTCACTATTTGATTTGTTTTGTGATAGTAACTCCAGTAAATTACTTTTAACAGAATTAACAATTGACATATCTCTAGTTTCTGTTGTAGGTGTAGCAGAAGTATCAATAGGACTAGACACCATGTTGGAGAGTGATTTAATTGGTGATTGGTCATTTTCTACAGTTATGTTCGACAAATCTGGTATAGTACAGTTAGTTCCGTCTAATGATTCAGTTTTGTCATTTTTTGCTTCTGTTTTTGTAGCATTTGCATATTTCTCTTCAGCCATAGAGCGATATAGATCAAAGGCATTCTGTAATAACTCTAAATCATGTTTTTGGAACACATGTGTTTGTAGATCAGGATTACTTTTTTCTTTTTCAGGACTGTTGGTCTCTGGCTCAGATTTTTGTGTGTTATTTTGATGGTTAGAATCCTTACTATCCTTATTATCACTTGCTGCCTGCTGAGAAGTTGAAGAGGTTTTTGCAGCTGCAGAATTCCTTAAAGATCTAGGACAAGAACTGGAGTGTAGGGTAGATAGCTGAAGTTGTATCAACATCATGTGATCTCCCAAGCGCATTGTCAAATTTAATGGTGATTTACCACTCAAGAAATCATTGACTTGGGTGTCATTCAAGGACTCTAATGCTTGCATCACTGTATTCTCGGGTCTTTGACTCTGAAAATAACACTTCTATAATTTAGTTGATGAATCTCATTAGTTAGTAATGAAACAAGCTTTTGTTCATAGATAAATGAACACTGATTAGGTTCACGTTGTTTTGAAACACGTGATAATGGCAAGTTATTGTGACGAAATGTCTCACCAGCAATCCGGTCTCGACGCTTGGTAGTAGGATGACCCGCGACCCGTCCATCAGTCCATTTTCTTCCAACGTGCCGTCCCTCAATTGTCTGCGAAGATAAAACGCAAGTCAATACACCATCAGACTGACGCTGATGCGTCATCGTATCGACATATTTCCGTGATATGTTTGACAATAGATGTTTGGCGTCTACTCTCTAGGGCTCACCTCTCGCGATGTAGTAAGCATATTCGATCCTTTGACACTTTTAGTTTCTTTGAAACTAGTTTCTTTAGATGCTCGACGGTGCTTTTGCCGTTCAAACTCACGGAAAAATTACCACCCGTGGTGGTATGTATATTCAAAGTTATGTCCGTGCTTTGGGTAGAGCCACACCCGTACACTTCGGTTCCAGTAGCACGTTCCATATTTTACACATGTATTACACTACAAATTATAATAAATCAACAAAAAACCACACACTAGTTAACTAAGATTACACAGCTATTTTATTGCAGAATAGAAATAACAGGGTCACGCCAGACCCCCAGTTTTTTGATGTGGCCGTCGTCGGTGTGACCAATTTTATCGCGATATCCCGTTAATTTTTTTTCATAACAGCTGATACGATATTCTACGATCCTTTACACTGTCTTCAATTAAAACAAGAGGGATTTTATGTTTGTTATATGGCTTAAGTGTTACGATTATAAAAGTATTTGGAAAAAAAGATAGTTATAAATATAATATTTAAATAATAAAAAATTTTAAAAAGTGAAGCTTAAATTATTTTTATGATTTTTTGGGAAATCTGTGAAAATAGAAACGGTATCTACGATCCATTGACGTCACACGACGCCCATCGTTCATATTTTGCGGGAAATACAAATAAATGACTAATGATTATTGAAGTTTCTTTCGCGTGAGGCTTACTCTCTTAAATGATACATAGGTATGCCTTAAGATTTTTTAAATAATATATTTATCAACTGTACTAGGTATGTCATACAAAAACAAAACCAGCTTCTAAATAGTCACGTAGGCTTCCTATAGACTTAAACAATAATACTTAGACTTATTTAAGCAATAATGCCAAATCCATTGGTACCAAATTTTGGTATAGACACCAACTTAATATGTAGTTAAATGTGATATATCAAGTAGGTATTTTGTTTCAGTGTTTATAAGATAAATCATATTATAAAATTTTAACGAAAAATGAAATTTTCGTATTAAATCTTTAAATGTAATCGAATCTTAAGAAGTAAACTCCAAAATATTAATTGGTTCCGGACTTTTGTCTTTAAGCTCCGAGATTTATGAGAATCGGACAGTAAATTTAACTCGAACGCTTGCCTATTTAAAGACGCCTAGCTAATTGGACAATTTACTGTATTTTTTAAACTTCACAAAATTTGGCTTTAGAAATTTCATTATTATCTACACCACTTAATTGATGATGTTGATATTTGCGTGTTCATTGTTGAAATTGTGGTGATGTTCACCCATAGAAATAGCCCACTGAGTTTCTCGCCGGATCTTCTCAGTGGGTCGCGTTTCCGATACGGTGGTAGATTCTGCGAAGCACCGCTCTTGCTAGGACCAGTATTAGCAAAACTCCGGCTTGAGCCCCGTGAGCTCACCTACACATCAAGGAAAAGCTGAAATAGCCTCTCAAGGCTATCAGCATAGGTACGAAAAAAAAGGTGACGTTGGTTTTCTATAGAGTGCAACACTGTCTACGTTTATATTGAACAAGTGTATTAACTATGTACTGAACCAAAGACAACGTCAGACCACAAAGATTAAGCACTCCTAAATTTTTTTGTTGAATCAAAGAAATCTTTTTTTTATGATTGAAGGATTACTGGTGGCCCGGTGGCCTTTCCAACTTCACCAGGAGAGGTGGGCCAGCAAAGGCTCAGCCCGGAGCCGGAGGGATTTGCTGCCCGAGCGCCTCCGAAGGAGACCTAATAACTCAAGAACAATTGCTTCGCGAATGACTCAAAGAAATCACGGACCTCGCAGTGTGCTTAGTGCGAGTTTCTTAACGTTCTCGATAGCGTAAAGTTAATCCAATTTTGTATGCAGTTGGAACAGCGCCCCTAGCGCCAAACGAACGCAAACGATCCCATTCCATACAAATATGAGCTAACTTTTACGCTACCGAGAACGTTAGAAAACTCGCACAAAGCACACAGATCCTTTGAAATATCTGGATCCACGGAGAGACTTCGGTTCTGTCTGTGTTTTATACTGTACGTTCTATGAGGAGTATCGTTCGAGATGACCCCTTTAAATCGTTTTTACCAGCGCACCTTCCGCCAGCGGAGCAGAGCTCATCCATACCACCTGGAACCTCTGTGTTCATCAACAGAGCGTTTCCAGAGAACGTGTTTGCCACGTACGATCCGGCTTTAGAATGAATGAATCTCCACTGAGTTTCTCAATCGCTATAATACGTCCTTTAAACGATGTTTGCGGAGAGCTCTTAGTAGTATGCCGGGGCTTAGCTGTGCCCCTGGCATTGCTGACGTCCATCACACACAAGAAGTTTATGTACTGGCGTAGACCGGTAAGCACGCTGTACCCTGGTTATCAACCGATTGCTCTGGTCCTCGCAAAACTTCGTATAGAAACGAGACTGTCGACGATTTGCTACCAGAAGGTTCTTGGTTACTTTGGTCACATTGCTCGGCGGCCACCAGACAACCTTGAAAGATTGACTGTGATGGGCAAGGTAGAAGGGAAAACACCCGCCGGCCGGCCACCAAACCGTTGGTCAGATCAGATAGCTGCGCTCACTGGACTCTCTGTTGCGACCGCCCTGAGAGAAGCCGAAAACCGAAGCAAATGGAAGCTGATGGTACAAAGAGCCACGAAAGGCTTTCAGGGACACGACCTTTAGCAATGAAATATTCCACTAAGAAGAAGCTTTGGTCCATGGACACCAAATGCCGCTCATCGATTACGATACGATTTAGTGGTTTGAAGTCATTCTTAATGACGTTTGGTTACATACGTTTTCGTAAAATAAAACAAATATTGATCTTCCCTCAACCGGTTTTATTCACCCCAGCACCCGCATATCGAATAAAAACCAACATAAAACTTAACGACTATCACAGCAAACTGTTGCAACAAACACTTTTAGTGATTTGGTACATGAGGTTAGTATCATACGATCGACTCTATTCAAATTGTTTTTAAATATTATTTGTGTCCAAATTTATTACTTTATAATTACTATAAATCCAAAATTAATCAACAAGTATAACGTAAAAGGATAATCTAGTTATTGCATTTTTAAGAGTACAATACATGAGTTTGAGATATTTAATAGGTCATGTAATTTTTATTAAAATAAATTATAATATTAATGTAACATTAACATTTTCACACGTCTTTACAACTGAATATATGTTTCATAACATGTCTCTAACATGCTTTTATTAGCTTGGTATATATATAACGGAATCTTTGTAAGTCATTTTCATAAACTACTTCAAGACGTCCTAGAGAGTAAAACTGTTTAAGTAAACTAAAAATTATGCAGACGCATCAAGAACGCGTCACGATGACAATATAATAAAAAAACACAAAATAACATTCTGAACAATATCAACAGGATAAAAAAAAAGATGAACTTACTTAATTCTTAGTTCGGTTTGCTATTTAAAAAGTTTTATTATTATTTTTAAGCTACCTTTATTTAATTTTATACTTAAACGCGTATTATCGTCATTGTACACAGGTGGCGGAAATGGAGAATAAACTTTTTGATTCGTATCTCAAATCAAATTCAACTATTCGTAACAGTGACATGGACATATGAGGGTCCTGAGTATATCATTTCAAAAAAAAAGAGCAAATATGTTACATCACTCGTTGCGTGTGAGTACGCACGAGTACGTACGTAGGTGACGAGCGTCGCACGCATGCGCTGTGTGTACTGCATCTTATTCTAAAAAAAATTGTCACTTTAAAAAATTAACACTGAGATTGTAGTGTAGAATGGTTATAACCTTATCAATTTTATAACTATTTCAATTGAATGATGTACATAATGAGTACTTTTATGTATTTAAATATAATTTTCAAGATTAAAAATGTTATTAATTATATTATATATTTTTGGATATATACAATTAAATGTTTGTTTATCTCTTAAATAGTCTATAAATGTAACAAAGTAAAGTTGATAAAATATGTTATTATCATGATCGAATATATCACATAACAAATCACAAATAAAATATGTTTAATAAATCAACAATATACAATAATTGTAAATAAAGTAACATTATTTCAGTTACTGAAACATTAAATTCAATTTATTAGACTTTTGCAATTATACAGTCAAGCTGCCTGAGTCTGGAACCCGAATTGATAGGGATATGATTTTAAGCTCACACTAACCACAACAAATTACTACAAACCATCTAAATATAATACTAATAATATCCTGATGGTTATAGGTAATAAACCCGAATGTGCTGTTTTGAGACACTGGGTTCATATACATATACCAGGTGCCTCAAAGCAGCGCAGATTTATGAATTAAATGTTTAAATGTTTTAATTGCTAATTTTAATTTTAATTTTACTAACATAGTTCTAAGTATTATTCTACTTACAACATATGGACTTAAGAGGGTCTGAATTAAATGAATTTTATTTTTATTTTAAATAATTGTGGAACATTTTTTATTTAATTTAGAAGTAAATTTGATGTGTTCTGAAAAAATAAACTCGACAATTAAGTGTGAGCTTAAAATGCTGTTTCTACCATCAAGTCCGGTTCCGGTTTCAGACGGCTTATATTTTTGGTTTTAAATATTTGCTAATCGAAATTATTCAGCTAACGTATCATAAACTGTGGTGGTATCATAAACATAAGGTGTGTGTGATTATGGAAACAAAAGTTTTTTTTTATTGCGACACAGTGCCGTTACATTTTTTTTATAGCTAGTGCATCGCCACGACCTTCCTGTCAAACAGGCAGCTTAACTATTTAGAGGTACTCATTTACTTTTTTTTAAATATTTTGCACTGAGAAATTTGTTTGCGGTCTGAACGCAACTACCCAAGACATTAATGAATGTAAGTAAACAAGCTACTTTAATACTTATACATATCGAACATGTCTCAGTGAGAACTGAACACATAGTTGTACTATACAGTGTGCAACCTCGAACATTTGTCTTGACACCGCTGAACTGTAAGGGTGTTATTAGTCACAAAATGTTTTTCATTTAAATAACAACCACAAATGAGATATACAAAAGTTACATGTCTATGACTCAATATGATTATTTTTCCTCAATACCAAATTCCTTAAATGAAATTTTAAAAGAATACAAGAAAATCTTGCAGTTACATAGTAAAGATTATGTAGTATTTATTTTATTCATTAAGGACTGTCATGTGTTCTTCTTTTGGCATTTCCATAGATGTTTTATATTAAACAACTTGGCTTGTATGTAATCATACTATATGTATATATTATCGACGAGTATTGTGACCTACTTAACTGGATTCAAGTCAAAAAAAGTGTAAATAAAAATAGGAAGTTCGAGCATAAAAATATATATGCTTATATGTGTAAGAGAAAAGCCACCATTTTTGGGTTTAAAGTTGATTAAAAATTGTTACAGCGCTCGATTCTTGATTCCATAATATTTTATTATAAAATAAATAAAAAATTAACATGATAAACCTTAACAACAAAAGATAAATAAACATTCTATATTTTCCTTCCATCACAAAAATGTCATATCATATTAATGTCATATAATTAAAATGTTCTGGTCATGTTACTACCTTATTCATAAACTAGAACAGGTCATAGGCCGAACGATTTCTCGTTACGATTAATCGTGAAACGATTGATCGACGATCTCTGCCCGACCGCCGGTGGACGCGATCCGCTCGTGATAGTTTCGTTGTGATCATGTGTGATGTTGTCTTCAATACAGTAAGTGATGGTTCAAGTTGTTTTATATTTAGTGTGGCGCAGATGGCGTGCTCATTGTGTTGAGCAGGTTTCAATGGACGATGCGAATACTGCCACTGACACTGGAGCATCGATATATTTTTACAATGGCAACCCTGGCGTAGGGCGGCGTGCCCAGTTCCTATCAACCGTTAACACCTTGGCATAGTTTATGAATAAGAATGAATGAATGAATGTTAAATCTAAATATGATAATTACGATTCCGTTCGATCACGATCCGAACTCTTGCGTCTCGGCGTCGATCTCTTCGAAGACGTATCCGCCGCGGCCGTCCATCTGCAGGTAGTGGTCGTGGTGCTTCCACAGCGACTTGCGGTGCGAGACGGTGAACAACGATATGCCCATCTGTGTTCAAAATAATCAAAATAAAAAATATTCATTTTATTTACAGTACATACGAAATTTTAAAAGCGAATGTCGGATTCTGAAAACATTAGAATATCCAAGAAATCATCAGGAGGAAATTTATTTTACTGGGATATATTCAAAGGTGTTGATATATAAAACACCTTATATGCAATTCTCAATAATTATATTCAATAAATTGATTCGTGTTTTCGAGTATATTTTGTAATTCCTATATTTGTATCAACATCAGAAGTACATTTTTTGAAGTGAAACTTCCTTATCGGCGTTGGAAAAAAATTTACCGTCACATTTTTCGGTTACGCGTCACATTTTTCCGTTACGCGCCATCTTTTAATTAACGGCTGTATGTTCTGAAGTATGGATGCGCATTTGAGAAACCGACCTCATGTCTCAAGGTGGGTCACGGAATACATTTTGTAATTGCAATAATCCCAGGTAACCCACTTAATATCACGTGGACCGTGCTATTATTGTTATTTTTATGAAGAATGGTTCTGTTAATATTTTTGTTAAGTAATTCTGAGCAAGTTAGAAGGCCAAAGATGCTTAATTTTTTTTTTTATAAACTACTAATTAATTACCGTTAAAGTATACTAATAAACTAAAATTAACATTATTATTTATTGTCTATACTATTAGGGAGTCCAACACTCGTATAAATATTAGTCTATTCATTAAGCACACGTATTTTCTACATGGATACCAAGTTTCAAGTCAATCGGATGCATGGTTCAGTAGTTATAACGGAACATCCGTAAAAACCACTGTAGATTTATATATTAGTATAGACTAGTGGTCTCCTGGTAGTCGAAATTCGACTATAACTAATGGAAATTATAAGTTTGTACACTATTATGGTTCTATTCTCAAAGACTATTAAATACTTCTTTAATCACAGATATCGTCAAAACTACACTTTAGATTAAAATTTATTAATAAAGAGAAAACAATATTTAATCTATTCTCAATTTGACAGACTATAACTGACAGACTGCAAAGAAAAGTTTGACAATAAACAAATAGTATGCATGCGTGTGTGCGTCAAATAGATGGTAGTGTGTGTCATGTTTTTTTTATTGATTTAATGTATTTTTTAGGCGTAATTTAAAAAAATATTAACATTCTGTACTCCTTCTCTATATTCCCTATAAGTGTGGGAAATTTCATACTCCTCCGTCCGCGCAATTTTCGTAAAAAGGGGTACAAAGTTTTTCCTTCATGTATTAATATATAGATAACAGCTCATTTAGGAGTTGATTTGGGAGACACACCTCTCTGCAGTACTGGTACATCTGTCCCTCGACGTCCACGGACACGGCGCTGGTGCACTCGTCCAGTATGGCGAACTGCGGCTCGTGGTAGAACAGACGCGCCATCTGCGGACACACGACGCTTTGTAACACACAGCACATCGTCTTCTCGCATTAAAACTGTATAATCTCAAAACTTTTTTACTGGTGGTAGGACCTCTTGCGAGTCCGCGCGGATTGGTACCACCACCAATAGATTTCATGCAATAGCAAAACATACAGTGCATTTCCAGAGGCTATTTCTTGCCCATACTACCTCAGTGTTTTTGATCAGCGCTGACATATCCCAATTCATACCAGATTTAAGAAAGTTACTTTACAGTAGGTATTGAACTGGCGGTACTCTTGGTACAGCCGGCGATACGCCGATTTACTGGTTGGTGGTAGGACCTCCTGTGAGTCCGCGCGGATAGGTACCACCACCCTGCCTATTTCTGCCGTGAAGCAGTAATGCGTTTCGGTTTGAAGGGTGGGGCAGCCGTTGTAACTATACTGAGACCTTAGAACTTATGTCTCAAGGTGGGTGGAGCAATTACGTTGTAGATGTCTATGGGGTCCAGTAACCACTAAACAGCAGGTGGGCTGTGAGCTATAGCAGTGCGCGCGTGTACTGACGGCGATCCTCTGCTTCTCGCCGCCGGAGAGCACGTCCATCCAGTCCTCCACGGCGTCCCAGCCGCCGTCGCGCGCCGCCAGGTACTCCAGCTGCACGATGCGCAGGAAGCGGCCCAGCTGCTCGTCGGAGCGCCCGCGCCGCACCATCTCCTCGCGCGTTTGCGGGTATATCACCTGCTCGAGACAAACGCGCATCACTATACGTATACAGTATATGCGATTTACACAATGTGAACACTAGGAACAAACATAGGCTTGCGTTGCCGGCGGCTCGAATTAAGAAAATAAGCAACTCTTTTAGGGGGCTGGGTGTACAACTTTTCAACGAGATCCCACAAAACGTTCAATTACTGCCTGTTCATAGATTTAAGAAAACTGTCAAGGAACGTTTGAGCAACAAGGCATATTATAAAGTTAAGGACTATTTACTAGATGGCACTACGTGGAAATGAGGCGTTCGCTCCTGGCCTTTTCATTTTTCATTATTATTATTATTATTATTTTGTAAATGTCGAACCACTTTCACATCGGGTGACCCTTAAAGAGAATAATAGTTTAAAAAAACTAACGTGTGCTAGAGTATGTATAGAGACTACAATTTTCCAGAGAGATGGGATCCCTGTAATGCGAACGTCTTGTCTCTGAGAGGAATCGAATGGAAGATGTTGGTATTTGGGATCCCTGCTCCATGTGTGACTGAAGTATTCAACGCGTGTTCTGTGTGCTTATTGCGAATTTTTTAACGCTCTCAATAGCGTTAAAGTTAACTCAAATTTGTGGGGAGTTATAACAGCGCCCCTAGTGACAAACGTAGGCAAACGCTCCATCTCCATATAATTTAACTTTCACACTATAGCGAGAACGTTAAAAAAATCTCGCACTAACCACCCCCGATCCATTAACGGTGCTTTTAGACACAGCCCACTGAGTTTCTCGCCGGATCTTCTCGGTGGGTCGCGTTTCCGATCCGGTGGTGATTCTGCGAAGCACTGCTCTTGCTAGGGTCAGTGTTAGCAACACTCCGGTTTGAGCCCCGTGATCTCACCTACACACGTTAGGGCGAAGCTGAAATAGCCTCTTAAGGCTATCAGCATAGATAGGCAAAAAAAAACTAAACACACTAGAATAACATCTGTCGTTTACTTAATACCAGAACGCAACATACGTTACGGCGACCGATGCCTGACATAATACCCAGTGATCCACACCTGATCTCTCAAGGTCCCCAGAGTCATGTACGGTCGTTGAGGCACGTAGAAGAGCTTCCCCTTGGGAGGCTTGGTGAGGGTGCCGCCGAATATCGGCCACAGCTCGCCCAGCTGGCGGAACATGGACGACTTGCCGCAACCGTTCGGTCCGCACACCAGCACGTTGATACCGGACCTGCGGATGTAGTTAAATATCAATATTTATTGTGGGCTTAGTGAGACTGATAGTTGATTGTAATATTAATTCTGAAATTGAAGCCTTTTAAATTTTTTTTAATGTCGATTAAAATGGATATCCCTGTCATTTTATACAACAAACTTCAAAAGTTTTGGTCATATCCAAAATTTTAGTCATGAAAGTCTTGTATAAAATTAATTTTTAATAAAATTCATTCTGAGTAAGTTTAAAAAATGTTTAAAAAATTACTAAAAATTTAGTCCAGTGTTCCGTGACTACGAAAACAATATACGAGTACATATATTAGACATTAAAATCGTAAAAGTATTTGCAGGAACTTCTCGTTCAATGACATTGGTAGTTATATTAATATGTATTCTTTTACTATATCTTTTAATACTTAAATTCACTCATACACTATGAATCAACTCTAAATTCTCACCATAATAAATAAATAATGTAAAAAAAAGCTTAATCGTCTCAGTAATTCAACCATAGATAACGCTTGCCAACGCCGACGTTTCCATCGCACCTTGAGCGTCATCGTGCTAAAAAACCCTTTGCTCTTTAGTGGAGCCAACGAGGCGCCAAGTGTCAAACGTGTAATAGCGGTGGTTTATTAATTGTTTAGCAAATTATAAAAGTGCACAAATTTCGGGAAAATTAAAAAAAAACTGGACGTGGCTTTTCAGGTTTTTCCAAAAACTAAACTCTCAGCAAAATGGTGGTTCCGTTTTACTGATCTTATCTCTTATTTCATCTCTCGGATCTTAACTCATTGCATTTAATTTGATCCCAATTGATCACAGTCTCAAATTAATCAGCTTCATGTCATTTCGAATCATTTCGTTTTTTATTTAACAGTATTTAATAATTAAGGATTTTTATAAACTTGACACTGGCAACAATAGCATTGCACGAAGTGATTGCTACAATAAAAAAAAATTAACTTACTTTACTTCGAAGGACAGCTCATCAATGAGGATATCACCGTTAGGAGTGACGAGCGGCACTTTGTCGAACTTTATGATCTTATCCTGGTATATAATCCGACCGGCGCCCGGAGCCAACAGCCTGGGCGGGCCTGGAAAAAGAACCATGAAATAGTAATTATCTAGTATTTTCTTGTACGAGACCAGATGACCGCCGTCTTCGGTGCACGGAGATAGGAGAGGTATCAAACTAGGCGGGGCTTCTTTAAACTAGAACTAACCAAACCAATTGGCAGTCTTCAAACTGGAATCTACCAAATGGTAGTTTTTTTTTATTTAAATCTAAATACATCTTAGCATCGTTGGTAAGTTTGTGTATTAGATTACTATGTTCGAGATTCAGTTTCGATTCTACTCGTCCACCCATCTAAGCCATACGGTCGGTAGTGTATAGGCAAAACGCTTCAGCGTCATCCATTTTCAGGGTTGGTTGAGTCGGATTTGGTTATATGACAACAGAAATAAATTACCGTTGGCACTATGTGACGTTTTGTCGACCATGGTCCTCGAGTAGTTGCCCTTGTTGATGTCGTCCAGCACGACGCGCAGCTGCGTGACCCGGGACGTGAGGCCGGCCAGCTTGCTCAGCTCGCGACCAGACAGCACGATCCGCCCGATCCCCTCGGCCATCTTAACCAACATCCGACCGTACGTGTAGTAGTGCTGGAACACAAACCAATACCGGTTAAAACATCTATTCACGTGTCTGTTTAAAATTGGACTTTACGGCGAACAGTTATAGTCGCTTTCAGACTACGCTATAATATAATACCATATAGCATATAGCTCATAGCATAACAATATCGCACACTATACATTGTTATGGACACGTTCACACTCTACTCTGCTATATATTATTGGCTAAGTATAGGCTGCTATACTATACTATTAATTATCTTCATTTCATTTCACCCCATATTATCATTTTTCATAAAAATAAGAATATAAATTAAAATAAGATATGACTTAAATGGTCATAGCTACTAGGTCATAAAATCTCTTTAAAAAAAACACTGTACTGTACTATATATTATTGGCTAAGTATAGGTTGCTATACTATATGGCACTATAGTATAGCGTAGTCTGAAAGCAGCTAATAGTGCGCGCGGAACTAGCAGTACGCTTTCACACAAAGAACTTGAGGTGGGAAACTCAAATAAGCTCGCATTACAATCGTAGTCTTAGGCCAATATTTGATTGTTTATTTGAACAAAATCCATAAAGAATGTATTCATAAAAAATGTGGGCTATAGCTATACCAACTTCATGTTAGAAGCAACATACCTTAAACCTATCATTTTCTGTACTCGTAGTCAATAAGTTGTGGTCCTTGACGAAGAACGGCCTAGACACAGCATAGAAACCTACTGTGATGGCGATGTCTGAGAATAAAAATAATATTATGTAATTAAATTCACTGTGAGTTTTTATTAACCAAAGATTTCAAGAAAATATTTTATGCTTGAGTTATTTATTGTATATTATTATAATCCTGACATTTATATATTTAAGAAAATTAAATTAATAAAGTTGTTACTTTCAATTTTTCATTTACTGTTTGATTTTGATAATGTTCGTAAGTAGTTGTATCGTAACATTTTAAAAAAACATTTTGAACTTCAAATTTCCTAATCAAATTTATATTGAATATTTATTAATTTGTGCTGTAAGATGTCGTTAATTCTCTTATTTTTTTAAATAAAAAATAAAACCAGAAACTTTTTCAATATTGTCCACATGCAAGCTTACAATCATACTTTTTTGGTAGTAATATTAGATAGACAGTCTGGCAATCAATTTTAAATCTCATACACAAAATTCTAATTATTAAATTTTTTACATTAAATTCAACAGTATGCAAATTAAATGTAACGAATTAATACTGTTTTGAAGTCGGCTAAAAAGGGTGATTTTGGTACCTTAAATAGCCCCTTAATATTCAATTATTAAAAAATATTTTCACCTGCTACGTAAATGAAGTCGCGGGTAAAATTTAGTGTTATCCCAAAGTAACTATTCCATGCGGACGGTGACGCGGACAAAACCTAGTGAATTAATAAAATGAGATTTAATACTTACATTTAGCAATGATGTTGTCGAGAAAGCCCATGCACACTCTGAAGTTTAAGAAATTTCTCAAATGTCTCGTCAGCTTGTAGAAACTGGCCAGTACTGTTAAGCGCTCTCTGTGGTTACCCTGTTAGCGAAAAAATCTATTGAAGTAAATGAAGAAGCGTACACCAATGAAAAAACAATTTAAGAAATCTTAATTCCGTGCCGTTTTTGTAAAATATTAATAATTATATTTTCAATAACTATGTTCATTATATTCACGATGGTCGTGTCTATGGTTAGCTCATTGGCCTCGGATGACGTCACAATAACTTGCATTGAATTGAATATTACGGTTTTACATAACAATAAAACCGATATTATGTGCCGAGAAGGAAAACATACAGCATTGTATTATGAAGAAGCAGTGTGTACTTAGCTTAGATTCCTTGTCTATGTCCAACCATAGACAGTCAATTTAGTTCCATCTTTAGCCGCTAGGTGCTGCCAGCAAGTATAAAGGGAGCGCAGCCATCTTTGATCTNTCAAGATTATGATAACGAAAAAAAAATTACAAATACCAGCTTCGCTTCAACTGAACCAAGACCTGGCAACAGCTCTAGTTTTGACTTAATAGAAGGAATATCTATTTTACCCCAAGATTAAATTATTACAATTATTAACCTACATGTTTTGTTGATGTTCTAATAAATATATAAATAAATACGTATGTTGATTTTAATAATTTAATAGTATTATGACGCAGAGTAAGTAATGTTTATGCACGTGAGTGTACCATGCGCGAACTTACCCCCACTACGTCAACAAATGCTCAAGAAGTTTGCCGGCTATTATAATGGAAATTATAAGTTTGTACACTTTTATGGTTCTATTCTCAAAGACTAGTAAATACTTCTTTAATCACAGATATCGTCAAAACTACACTTTAGATTAATATTTATTAATAAAGAGAAAACGATATTTAATCTATTCTCAATTTGACAGACTATAACTGACAGACTGCAAAGAAAAGTTTGACAATAAACAAATAGTTTGCATGCGTGTGTGCGTCAAATACATGGTAGTGTGTGTCATGTTTTTTTTTATTGATTTAATGTATTTTTAGGCATAATTTAAAAAAATATTAACATTCTGCACTCCTTCTCTATATTCCTTATAAGTGTGGGAAATTTTCTTACTCCTCCGTCCGCGCAATTTTCGTAAAAAGGGATAGGTACAAAGTTTTTCCTTCACGTATTAATATATAGATAACAGCTCATTTAGGAGTTGACTTGGGAGACACACCTCTCTGCAGTACTGGTACATCTGTCCCTCGACGTCCACGGACACGGCGCTGGTGCACTCGTCCAGTATGGCGAACTGCGGCTCGTGGTAGAACAGACGCGCCATCTGCGGACACACGACGCTTTGTAACACACAGCACATCGTCTTCTCGCATTAAAACTGTATAATCTCAAAACTTTTTTACTGGTGGTAGGAACTCTTGAGTCCGCGCGGGTAGGTACCACCGCCCTGCCTATTTCTGCGGTGAAGCAGTAATGCGTTTCGGTTTGAAGGGTGGGGCAGCCGTTGTAACTATACTGAGACCTTAGAACTTATATCTCAAGGTGGGTGGAGCAATTAGGTTGTAGATGTCTATGAGCTCCAGTAACCACTTAATACCAGACGGGCTGTGAGCTATAGCAGTGCGCGCGTGTACTGACGGCGATCCTCTGCTTCTCGCCGCCGGAGAGCACGTCCATCCAGTCCTCCACGGCGTCCCAGCCGCCGTCGCGCGCCGCCAGGTACTCCAGCTGCACGATGCGCAGGAAGCGGCCCAGCTGCTCGTCGGAGCGCCCGCGCCGCACCATCTCCTCGCGCGTTTGCGGGTATATCACCTGCTCGAGACAAACGCGCATTACTCAACCGATGCTTGAAAGGCAAACGTGACTAAGCGACAATGCGTGAACTTTACACTAGACCAATGTAAAGTTGAAATACCAGCAAAAAAATTCAATTTTATTGAATCTAGCTGTAGGATTGAAATGATTTCATTTTTGTGATGATTGAGTCTAAAAACTCATGCATTAGTAATCAGTCGAAATAGAGAGAACGAAACGTCATGTCATAACTTTAATACGGAAATGATGCGAACGATTGTTGATTTACTCTTAATCTTAAAATCATAATTCCGGTCCAGTACAAAACATTTCTGTAGTGAAATTGATTGTAAAAAATGAGAAAACTATTTCGATGTTATTTTGATTCTGCAACATGCAACTTTGCTAGACGACTTTTGGTCATTCTCCTTTAACCTATTCTTCCGTTGTTTGTAAAATTGATGTAACATGTCATAAAGTGTTATAAGAGATTACTGCACATGCCTGTAACTGGCTTACATACCAGTACTTAATTTTATACTTGTTAATTTTAAGCTTGAATGTTTTGTGTGTATTGTTGTTGGTGTGTCTAAATAAATAAATAATAAGTAAAAAACGTTAAAAAAAACTCGCACTAAGCACACTAGATTATCATTTGTCGTAGGCTTAAAAGAAAACCAGAGCGCAACATAGTTTCCGCGGCATAATACCCAGTGATCCACACCTGATCTCTCAAGGTCCCCAGGGTCATGTACGGTCGTTGAGGCACGTAGAAGAGCTTCCCCTTGGGGGGCTTGGTGAGGGTGCCGCCGAATATCGGCCACAGCTCGCCCAGCTGGCGGAACATGGACGACTTGCCGCAACCGTTCGGTCCGCACACCAGCACGTTGATACCGGACCTGCGGATGTAGTTAAATATCAATATTTATGTGGGCTTAGTGAAACTGGTAGTTAATTGTAATATTAATTCTGAAATTGAAGCCTTTTCAATTTTTTTCAATGGCGATTAAAAGGGACATCCCTGTCATTTTATACAACAAACTTCAAAAGTTTTGGTCATATCCAAAATTTTAGTCATGAAAGTCTTGTATAAAATTACTTTTTAATAAAATTCATTCTGAGAAAGTGAATTATTGTTTAAAAAAATCCTAAAGATTTAGTCTAGTCTTCCGTGACTACGAAAACCATAGATATTAGAAATTAAAATCGTAAACGTATTTGGGAGGAACTTCTCGTCCAATGACATTGGTAGATATACTAATATTATATACATTTTTTGCAATATATTTTAATACTTAAATTCACTCATACACTTATCAACTCTAAATTCTCATCATAATAAATAAAAAATGTTAAAAAATGGCTTAATCGTCTCAGTAGTTCAACAACAGATAAAGATTACCAACGCCAACGTTTCCATCGCACCTTGAGCGTCATCATGCTAAAAACCCTTTGCCCTCTAGTGGAGCCAACGGGGCGCTAAGTGTTAAACGTTTAATAGCGGTGGTTTATCAATTATTTAGCAAATTATAAAAGTGCACAAATTTCGGGAAATGAAAGAAAGCCGCTTGACGTGGCTTCTCAGGTTATTCCAAAAGATTAACCAAGCTCTCAGCAAAATGGTGGTTCCGTTTTACTGATCTTATCTCTTATTTCATCTCTCGGATCTTATCTCATTGCATTTAGTTTGATCCTTATTGATCACAGTCTCAAATTAATCAGCTGCATGTCGTTTCGAATCATTTCATTTTTCATTAGGCAATATTTAATATTTAAAGATTTTTATAAACTTGACACTGGCAACAAAAGCAGGGCACGACGTTATTGCTACAATAAAAAAAAAAAAATTACTTACTTTACTTCGAAGGACAGCTCATCAATGAGGATATCACCGTTAGGAGTGACGAGCGGTACTTTATCGAACTTTATGATCTTATCCTGGTATATAATCCGACCGGCACCCGGAGCCAACAGCCTGGGCGGGCCTGGAAAAAGAACCATGAAATAGTAATTATCTAGTATTTTCTTGTACGAGACAAGATGACCGCCGTATTCAGTGCACGGAGATAGGAGAGGTATCAAGCTAGGTGGGGCTTCTTTAAACTAGAACTAACCAAACCAATTGGCAGTCTTCAAACTGGAATCTACCAAATGGTAGTTTTTTTTTATTTAAATCTAAATACATCTTAGCATCGTTGGTAAGTTTGTGTATTAGATTACTATGTTCGAGATTCAGTTTCGATTCTACTCGTCCACCCATCTAAGCCATACGGTCGGTAGTGTATAGGCAAAGCGCTTCAGCGTCATCCATTTTCAGGGTTGGTTGAGTCGGATTTGGTCATATGACAACAGAAATACATTACCGTTAGCACTATGTGACGTTTTGTCGACCATGGTCCTCGAGTAGTTGCCCTTGTTGATGTCGTCCAACACGACGCGCAGCTGCGTGACCCGGGACGTGAGGCCGGCCAGCTTGCTCAGCTCGCGACCAGACAACACGATCCGCCCGATCCCCTCGGCCATCTTAACCAACATCCGACCGTACGTGTAGTAGTGCTGGAACACAAACCAATTCCGGTTAAAACATCTATTCACGTGTCTGTTTAAAATTGGACTTTACGGCGAACGGTTATAGTCGCTTTCAGACTACGCTATAATATGATACCATATAGCATATAGCTCATAACAATATCGCACACTATACATTATTATGGACACGTTCACACTCTACTCTACTATATATTATTGGCTAAGTATAGGCTGCTATACTATATGGCACTATTAATCATCTTCATTTCATTTCACTTCATATTATCATTTCTCATAAAAATAAGAATATAAATTAAAATAAGACATGACTTAAAGGTCATAGTTACCAGGTCATGAAACTGTACTGTACTATATATTATTGGCTAAGTATAAGTTGCTATACTATATGGCACTATAGCATAGCGTAATCTGAAAGCAGCTTATAGTGCGCGCGGAACTAGCACTACGCTTTCACACAAAGCACTTGTAAAGACACATGAGGCGGGAGACTCAAATATGCCCGCATTACAGTCGTAGTCATACATTGAATTGAACTGAGGCCAATATTTGAGAGTGCTTATTTGAACAAAAACCTTCAAGAATGTATTCATAAAAAAATGTGGGCTATAGCTATACCAACTTCATGTTAGAAGCAACATACCTTAAACCTATCGTTTTCTGTACTTGTAGTCAATAAGTTGTGGTCCTTAACGAAGAACGGCCTAGACACAGCATAGAAACCTACTGTGATGGCGATGTCTGGGAATAAAAATAATATTATGTAATTAAATTCACTGTGAGTTTTTATTAACCAAAGATTTCAAGAAAATATTTTATGCTTGAGTTATTTATTGTATATTATTATAATCCTGACATTTATATTTAAGAAAATTAAATTAATAAAGTTGTTACTTTCAATTTTTCATTTACTGTTTGATTTTGATAATGTTCGTAAGTAGTTGTATCGTAACATTTTAAAAAAACATTTTGAACTTCAAATTTCCTAATCAAATTTATATTGAATATTTATTAATTTGTGCTGTAAGATGTCGTTAATTCTCTTGTTTCTTTAAATAAAAAATAAAACCAGAAACTTTTTCAATATTGTACACATGCAAGCTTACAATCATACTTTTTTTGTAGTAATATTAGACAGACAGTCTGGCAATCAATTTTAAATCTCAAACACAAAATTCTAATTATTAAATTTTTTACATTAAATTCAACAGTATGTAAATTAAATGTAATGAATTAATACTGTTTTGAAGTCGGCTAAAAAGGGTGATTTTGGTACCTTAAATAGCCCCTTAACATTCAATTATTAAAAAATATTTTCACCTGCTACGTAAATGAAGTCGCGGGTAAAATTTAGTGTTATCCCAAAGTAACTATTCCATGCGGACGGTGACGCGGACAAAACCTAGTGAATTAATAAAATGAGATTTAATACTTACATTTAGCAATGATGTTGTCGAGAAAGCCCATGCACACTCTGAAGTTTAAGAAATTTCTCAAATGTCTCGTCAACTTGTAGAAACTGGCCAGTACTGTTAAGCGCTCTCTGTGGTTACCCTGTTAGCGAAAAAAATCTATTGAAATAAATGAAGAAGCATACACCAATGAAAAAACAATTTAAAAAATCTTGATTCCGTGCACTGTTTTTGTAAAATATTAATAATTATATTTTCAATAACTATGTTCATTATATTCATGATAGTTGTATCTATGGTTAGCTCGTTGGCCTCGGATGACGTCACAATAACTGGCATTGAATTGAATATTATAATTTTAATTAAGTGTAGTAATTAAAAAAAAACCCTGTTAATGATAGTTAAATTCATTTAAAATAACGATTCAGTTGGTATGTAATATTATTCATAGTTAGAACATAATTATGAGATTGCACAGTATGGAAACTTTAGAGAAATACATATATGGAGTTGTTTACGGAAACTTATCAGCTGTCCCATTCACAACTGTTTTTGTTTTTAGACACATTTCATATATTTTGTACGGTTTTCTTTAAAACTGGAAGAGTAAATCATTTTAACTTCGCATTATAACAAATCTGTGTCAAATGATAAAATTACTCCATGTTTTTTGCCATATCTTTATCCATAATGCCTGAACTATCAGATCAGTTCGGATTTTTACATGTGCAATGAAAAAAAAAGTTAAATTCAGTTAATTTATTAATGAATATTTAAAATTTAATATTCATTTTGATGAAATGTTAGCTCTAGGGTAGTATAATAACAATACTATAAATATAAAAATGTATTGCTGTTTGTTAGTCTCGCTAAAACTCGAGAACGGCTAGACCGATTTGGCTAATTTTGGTCTTGAATTATTTGTGGAAGTCCAGAGAAGGTTTAGATAAATATGAAAATGCTCGAAATTAAATAAAAATAACAATTTTGTTTTCCCTTTGATGTGTCCCCCGTTTTAAGTTTATTTTATACAAAAGTTTAGGTCTTTTTTTATTGATCTAGGCACTACGAAGTCTGCCGGGTCAGCTAGTAACAATATAACGTCAATAGGAAGCCACATTGTCTAACCTGATAGAAAGCAATTTCTTCTGAATTCGTGATAAGTCTGGAGTTGACGTATCTATATTCACCTTCGAGTTTCTGTTCTTGAACTGTCATTTTTGCTGTAAACAAATGAGGTAACTATCGATAAACAACGCATAAATAAATATAAAAGTTGTGAAGTGGTTGTGAATAAATTAGAATTGTCATTATTTATTGTGACAATACAGTTGTTTTTCTTTCAGGTGGAGAGTTTTTAATGTTTCAGAAGAGCATAATAATATAGACTCTCGACCAGCTTCGTTTAAAATGGTTATTGGAGTCGTTTGAGGTCACAACGCGAGTTTCTCTACCTATCTTAAGTGCGCGGTCTCAATCGTATTGAGGCATCCGGTCATCGTTCTCGTCGAACCCGTCGCTTGCGACGAAGGGCTCGACGAGTAAATTAACCCTCAGACACAGCCCACTGAGTATCTCGCCGGATCTTCTCAGTGGGTTGCGTTTCCGATCCGATGGTAGATTCTGCGAAGCACGGCTCTTGCTAGGGTTCGTGTTAGCAACGTCGCCAGGTTTGATTGAGCCCCGTGAGCTCACCTACTAGTTAAGGTTACGCTGAAATAACCTCTCAAGGCACTAAACTAGGTAAGAAAAAAAAAATTGAGGCACGGCTGTTCTATTCATCGAGCAGTAAGCCATGACAACTTTGCGACAAAACCCAAGGATGTGTGGATACATGGTAAATGTCTATACGGTCTCGCACAACGACTAGTAAATAACATGATTGTCAGAACGACATGCCATAAAACTAGGTTAAAATTTGATCACCTCAATGGGGCTCGTGACGAGTGTTTTTTATTTTTATTTTTTAGAGCCCTTGACGTGTCGTTCAACTGATAATTATTACCGTTTCGTATTAAGATTTCGTTTTTTTTCCCCTACCTATGCTTGATAGCCTTGAGAGGCAATTTCAGCTTCGCCTTAACGTGTAGATGAGCTCTCGGGGCTCAAACCTGGCGATGTTGCTAACACGAACCCCAACAAGAGCCGTGCTTCGCAGAATCTACCACCGGATCGGAAACGCGACCCACTGAGAAGATCCGGCGAGAAACTCAGTGGACTGAAATGATCCAATGAAATAAACAAATATATAGCAGTATGTACAGTGTACCTGTTGGTTTCCGCAAGTGTGTTAGCAACACCCCCGATACCAGAAGGTAGGCCACCATAATTCCGGGCGTCTGAAACATAAATATAATAATAGATCAATTACGAATTATTTCTGATATTAAAATGATAAGCACTCCGAATTTAGAATCTCCTTCTTTATATGAAGTCTGTTAATTAACGAATTCTAATCATTTTATCAGTATTTTCCACATATGTATTTATTTGTTTGTGGAAGATTTCCACTAGTAGATTTCTACTAGTTTCCATTAGTAGTGTAATACTTTTTTGTAATGACGGTCTATAAAATTAGAATCTCGACAGAGGTGTCAGCTATGACTGGCCAAATTCTTCGCTAATGGCAAAAATCTGAAGGGTAATGTCACCAAAAGCATAGGCATTAGATAAGAAGATGGGACGATGACTTAAGGTTGGAATTGGAACCTGTCTGGACGAGAGTAGCTTCTGAAAGTAATTTTTGGTGAATGCAATTGCCGACGCCGCAACACGCTAATAGAGGATATAAAAATGAAAATCGTGCAACGTAATTATAGTAATAAACGGGTTTTTATAGTTAATACTTATGTTTTTCCGAAGCCTAAAACACAGGGGAAAATCCTAGGGTAGTTCTGTAATCCTTATTTCAGAGCTATTCTCTAACGACAAAATTCGTTGGAATTTACAATTTTATAATTCAAGGTCGCAATGATATCGTAAGGATAAATATAAAGATGCGAATATAGAATCGACATTTTAAACAAGTTTTGCAACTTTTCGAAATAAATAATATTTCGTCACTCACAGATGCACCCAAGTTCACAGTGAGCCTGTACAAGTATATTGCGATATCCAAGAGCGGTTTGCTGATGTTGCTGTATAGATCGACGACGGTTTCACAGAACCTGTCAATGTCAGTTGTCAAGAGCTGATCAGCGTTCGATATCCGATTGTCTAAGTTCGTCACTTGGTAGTACGTGAAGCCTCTGCAAACAAATTATAAGCATTTGAGCAATCTGATCATTAAATTAGCAGCAGATAACGAAATATTATTATGTAGTTAAGGTGTTTTCACGAACAGCCTCCACGATGTAGGAATAATAATGTACCTACGATAAAAAATCTAGACCGATATAATCATGAATTGAACTTCATTTACGTTTACACAATTCAAATAGCTGAAGAAGTTTTTTTTGTCATGATATTTTTTCCAAATTTTAAACTTTAAAAAGGAGTCTCCTGTAAAGTATCAAAAATGTTGCTTAAGCCAAATAGCTTTTCACCCCTCGATTTGTTCGCATGGGGAGGTACCATTCTGCCGTGAAGCAGCCATGCTTTCCGGTTTGAAGAGTGAGACATGACGTTAGACAATACAATCGAAAAAATCGAAAGTGAGTGCTGGCATTCAGTGTGCTTAGTGCGAGTTTCTTAACGTTCTCGATAGCGTAAAAGTTAAGACAATTTTGTATGCAGTTGGAACAGCGCCCCTAGCGGCAAACGTACGCAAACGATTTCATTCCATACAAAAATGAGTTAACTTTTACGCTATCGAGAACGTTACAAACTCGCACTAAGCAAACAGAACACGCGTTGAATACTTCACTCACACATGGAGCAGGGATCCCAAATACCAACATCTTCCATTCGACTCCCCTCAGAGACAAGACGTTCGCATTACAAGGTTATTACATAATATACATTATAGGCTTCTTTTTCTCTTCAAGGGTCACCCGATGTGAAAGTGGTTCGACATTATGACTACGATTTTCTAAACGAGTACGGTGGTCAACAGGGTTTATTAATTTTTAATCCTTGCAGTAATGCCAGGTTGGTTCATTTTGCTGTTCATGGAATACTAAACGCAAGAGTGATAATGCGTCGTGATAAACGTCATGATAATATATTATATTGAATGACGTTATTTGGCACGTTTATTAAACCGTCTAATTTATATACAAACTACCTGAACCGATAGTCTTAACTATGAATACTGAATTCGAATTGGTATAATTATTTAAACATATATTATTCAAAACATAGTGTTCATTATTATAGTGCTCTATCATACACTATATTCTTAGTTTCATTTTATGGTGCGTATGTAGTGTTTTATTATATTTATTTTTGTTTCATTGCCATTATAGTCAGACTAGGATACGACCAGGCCCACCTGATGGTGAGTGGCTACTGTCGCCTATGGACGTCAGCAACGCTAGGGGCAAAGCTAAACCACTGCCTACCGAAGCTAAGCCGCTGCCTATTAGATACCATTAGATTTGTTACAACTGGCTGGTTCGGAATCAAAGAAATCCGTGGAATTAAAACTTTTCCCTTTTCAAGCCTTTGTACTTCCCTTTCAAAATTGTGACTTCGATAACGTTGTTCATTAATATTGTCACTGCAAGTCGAGTGCCGTTACAAGCAGATAGCTCGTTTATATTTCGCAACATATGTATTCCCGATGCGATTAATACAGATTAAAAGTACACTAAAACTTATTTTTCAGCTTTTTTTAATAGATAACCTTTTAATATAAGCTCGAGGTACATTATAATCTAAAATAAAGAATTATTCGTCGATATGTGGATATAATTATGTATATAGGTCTCTTCAAAATTACCCAACTAGTCTATAGAAAAATAAATTTCCATTCAAATCGTTGTTTAATGAAAACAACAGGTTTATAATTACACATTTACGCGTAATGTTTGTTCAGTGCCATACAAATTATTATACAAACATGCACATTAACACGTACTATTACGAAACTAGTGTCTGCGCCCGATCCAAACAGAGGTATTATTACCTAGAGTAGTAATCTATTGAACTGATCATTTTTATCATTCACGTAATATCAATTGGATAATATTAGGCTAGGGTTAGGGTAAGGCAGTCAGATTATTTTAAAAAGCAACTTACGCAAAACCTTAAAAACGACCTGAAGTCTGCTGATGTAAATAGCATAAATGTGTCTATACAAAATGCAATTAAACAAGTTAGAACTAAAACACCCAAGGCAAACAATAGACCTCTCTTTAGTGATATTGAAAAACTAATCCAAGAACGTGTAGAGATACTAAAAACGCCTGACCAGATAGGAATTGGAACAATAAATAGCAGTAATAGGTTGGGGTAAAAGTTTCTTCGCATTTTTTAAGAAAATTCACAACTTTTTTTAATGTTGTTTATTTACATTTAACTAAACTATGTAGGTACCATTTTGTTCGATAACTTTTTGCCATCTTGTAGGTAGAGACATGATCCCATTACTATAGAAATTTTGCGGCTTCTGATCAAAATACCGCGAGAATTGGTTTTGGCAGTCTTCTCGTGATGTTAACCTGACACTGCCTAAATAATTCTGAAGAGACCGAAACAGGTGGAAATCTGAAGGTGCAAGGTCAGGACTATACGGCGGATGCATTAACACCTCCCGGCCAAGCTCTCTTAATTTTTGCTGAGTGGCTAAAGATGTGTGAGGTCTAGCGTTATCATGATGAAAAACCACACTCCTTCTGTTGATTAATTCCAGCCGCTTTCTCTCAACTTCTTGCTTTAATCTCATCAGTTGTTCGCAGTAGAGTTCAGAATCGATGGTCCTGCCTGGTGGTAGCAGCTCATAATGAATAATGCCCTTCCAATCCCACCTCACACACAGCATCACCTTGTTGTGAGTTAGCCCTGGTTTCGCCACGGTCTGTGAAGCCTGACCGGTCTTTGACTAAGACCTTTTTCGCACGTTCTTGTCGCACGTGATCCACTTTTCATCAGCAGTTATCAGCTTCTTCAAAAATGTTTCGGTTTCATTACGTCGTAATAAAGAATTACAAATGAGTACACGGTTCATTAGGTTTCTTTCAGTGAGCTCGTGAGGTACCCAAATATCGAAATTTTTTGTGTACCCAGTTTCTTTCAAATGCGCCAAAACTGTTTTGTGGTCAATTCTCAGTTCTTCAGCTACGTCGTAACTACTGATATGCCGATCTTGCTCCAATTTTTCAGAAATGGCATCCATTTTATCCGTAATAGGGCGATTAGAGCGACGTGCATCTTCGACATCAAAATTTCCGGATTGAAAACGCTTAAACAAAATTTGTGCTACTCTCACAGACACGGCACTAGGTCCATAAACATAGTAATTTTTTTTCGCGGCTTGCGTTGCATTTTTACCTTTTTTGTAGTAAAATTTTAAAATGTATGGAATTTCTTCATTAGATTCACTCATCTTGACAGTACGAAAAATAAATAAAATTCACACATTTTCCTAATTTGAATTTGGAATTATCTTAAAATTTAAACTTTTAATGATACCAAAACCAGCCAGATACAAATAGTATAGTCAAAGAGATTTTATTACAAGTTCATACATACTATAATGCGAAAAGACCTTTTCCCCGACCTATTATTAAACATTACATATTAAAGGGGAATATACCTATGAAATTGAAGCGTCGGACATTCGAGCAATGTGTTATCACTGTGATGGTGTATGGGGCCGAGACATGGACGCTCACAAAGCAAATTATTACCAAAATGTAAGTCACGCAAAGAGCCATGGAACGGGCTATGTTAGGCACTTCTCTACGGGATAAAATGTGCAATACCGAAATCCGCAGAAGAACTGGTTTGACTGACGTAGACAAGGTTGGAGCTTGGAAAAAGTGGAAGTACGCCAGCCACATATGCCATCGCACTGACTATCGGTGGGGAACAAAAGTACTGGAGTAGAGACCTCGTACTGGAAGTCGTAACGTGGGCAGACAGCCAACGAGGTGGTCAGATAACCTGGTCAAAGTGGTTGGTAGAGATTGGATGAGAAAGGCAAGAGACCGAAGAGAATGGGATGCATTCGAAGAGACCTACACTCAGCATTGGGTGGACACGGGTTGAAGAAGAGAAGCTAGGGTTTGATCTCTGATTTTTCTTATTCATTGTCCTATGTAAAATGACGTCACAGGTTCAACACGGATTAAGCGATAAGATTTGCGCATGAATTTGAATCGAACATCAGGGATATTGTCCATATCGAACGACCATTGCACTAGTGTATTACAGTTAAATGATTTCATAGGTTTTCAATTCAAAGCGTATAAGTCAGAATATGTAATTGCAGGCCAACATAGGTCATTGCTTTCAACCTTAATGAATATTAAGGTGGAATGAATCGTAAAATGGATTTAACATTTTGTAGTATCACTAACTGGACTATATGATATGACACTTTTTGATATCACCGTGCCGTCTATTTCGGGTGTAAACTTTTGTATTGAAGGCCGGGTTAGTCAATTCTATTATTGGCTTATTATCAAAGTTCAATCGCACTACTGATTTTTCTAGGTCTTGAGACAGAGTGTATTTGAATTAGACTAGTTAGTTAGTCCTAGAAGCGCATTGCCTGGAGGGCGGGTGTTGGGAGCATGGGCGACCTAACAGGTCCTACTGCACATACAGCGTCAGCGCAACCACGACACTCTGACAAGAGTGAGAGTGAGAAGAAGAAGTTAGTTAATTAATAAGACTAGATTAGTATTTGATTTGAAGTAGACCTGCCTATTTTGTGATATGTGGGTAGGCAGTGGCATGTCTGTCCCATTGCATTAGCATGAGTAACGGTGACGATCATCAGAGGAGCCGTACAGGTCTGCCTACAAAAGCAACCAAAAAAATTTGTAGTTGTTCTCGGCTTGCGATTCTAATACGTTCTAGAATGTTCTCGGGGTGAGACACACTTTTTTTTTTATAATACAATAAAGTACATATGAAAAACTAGTGATGCGTGTCATCAACGATCACGAATCGACTGTCTGTAGCAGTACGTTTTACTTGTAAGTTCGTTAACGCAAACCACGGAATAGATAATCAAGATATTACCTTAGCAATAAAAAAAAAAATGACCTTAGTTATTTATTCCGTAATAAGATGATACCTTAATTATCTATTCCGTGACGCAAACGTAGTTTTTCAATGATGAAAAAAAAATAAAGCAACTTTAAGAAAATTCAAGAAAAAGAAAGAAAAATTAGAAATTTCATTACGTTCATTATAAAATGTTCGGGCATTTACAACGTGAATAAAACAATCAATGAAAAAGGTTAAAGGCGATCTCGGGTAGGCAACAAGTTTATATTACAGGTCTATTAGCGTCCCAGTAAATAAAAATAGCTGTTATACTTTATTCTAATTACGAAGTCCCATGAGACAGATGTTCTTATTATGTTATTGTGTGTGTGAATTAATTGTATAATGATTTAGATTGATTGTGTATTTTTTAAATGATATCTACGACCATGAACAAAAAACTATTATTATTTTAAATTATGCGTAATGTGAAGAGTTACGTTCTAAGAAGTGTCAAAAGGGACTTCATATTTGGAATAGAGTATAGTGATTGTCATGTTCTAGTGTATCTAGTGCTGGTAGAACGTGTTGTAAGCGCCAGGACCGCCATCATTGCCTATTTTGCCTATTTTTTACTGGTGGTAGGACCTCTTGTGAGTCCGCGCGGGTAGGTATCACCACGCCTATGTCTGCCGTGAAGCAGTAATGCGTTTCGGTTTGAAGGGCGGAGCAGCCGTTGTAACTACACTTGAGACCTTAGAACTTATATCTCAAGTTGGGTGGCGCATTTACGTTGTAGATATCTATGGGCCCCAGTAATCACTTAACACCAGGTGGGCTGTGAGCTCGTCCATCCATCTAAGCAATAAAAATAAAAAAATCTGATGAGTTACAGCCATGTATTATGGCTTAATTGATAAGACTGCCACAATCACGATACAACTGATAGTTAGACCTCACGTTTTAAGTCTGTAGACGGCTTTAATTTTGCGATTTCTATGGGCCAATCCGTTAAACACGTAATACGAGATGAGATTTCGCAAGCCGGTGTTCAAATACCGGTAACACTATTTTTTATTGAAATACGTATTTTACATAACAGATGGTCATCAATTACTTTCACGATGAAAGATACGGTGTTATAAAAATCAAACTCGCAAAAATTCTAGTATGCGTAATTACTAAATAACTGAGACCTCAAGTCTCAACGTGGGCGGTGGTATTCACGTTGCAATGTCCATGTGAACCCGTAACTACTCAACAGCAGGTGGGACGGCTCGTTCATCTGTCTACGTTAACAAAAAAATAAATATGAGCCATTAGCCCATCTGCCTTTTTGGAGGATTAAAAATAAACCTCTATACATAGTTCAAAGAAGAACAAATCGTATTGGCTGTTATAAAATGAAACAAAAAATTAAAAAGTGACAGCAATAACAGAGGAAATTCGTTGCTGAATTATGACTCTAGAGTACGATATTATTTGCATAATACATAATGTGATGAAATTTGCGGCAAGTTTACCGTGCACACAATACGAAGTCCAGTGGCCATGTACAATCGATTCAATAATACTATACGAATGTCTAACTTTTTTTAAACAATTGAATCGATATGATATTAAAATGTACTTTGAACTGATCGCAATATTAATCTGTTTACTTTTGTTCTAGTTTTGTATTATCAATAGATATCCTTGATAGAGTACGTTCTGTCAATTAAGATTTATGACGACAATTTAAATATCAGTACATTTTCAAGTTGTTGGATTCCGCGTACAAAATCCTCTGCATTCTAATACTACGTACAAAGTGTAAAACTAATCTAAATGGCTTTTGTTTATCGAGCATTGATGAGTCAAAGGCAAACACAATCTTCACCATTTATAATACGACGTATTATCGAAAGATTAAATTTACTATGATAATAATCTTTGATGTGTGTGTATTTGTCAACGTTAAATATTATTTAAATAATGTTTTGCTTTGAAAAAATCACATTTTGGGGTTAGCAATGAACAATATTGTATAAAAATATTTTTATTTGAACGATGAATGCGAAAGATTTGTTGCTGTTCAAAATATTGTATTGCCATTATAGAAAAAAAATTACGCAGACAAAGAACTTCCAATTAGCCAAGCATTTCATATAAGCATCTATATATTAATACGTGAAACAAAAACTTTGTATCCCTTATCACGAAAATTGCGCGGACGGAGGAGTATGAAATTTTCCACACTTATTACAGAATATAGAGAAGAAGTGCACAATGCTAATATTTTTTTAAAATAATGCATAAAAGACATTAAATCAATAAAGAAAACATTACACACACTACATACCATGTATTTGACGCACACACGCATGCATACTATTTATTATGAAAGTTTTGTTCTTGACATCTGTTTTCAAATTGAGATTAAATATTATTTGTCTTTGTTAATATTTTTTATAGAGTAGTCTTGGCGAAATTTGTGATTATAGAAGTATAAAATACAATCATAATAGTGTACAAACTTACAATTCCAATTAATTATAATCTAATTTCGACTACTGCGGGACCTCTAGTACAATAGAATTGTTCGTTTAATTTAATGGATGATAATTTTGTGGATGATAAGGCCAGTTAACTCCACAGTACACTTTACTCGTGATTACGCGTAGTTACGTGTAGTTTACGTATAATCAAGAATCCTCTCACAGTGACCGGTTATAGCAAGTCTTCAAAGTGAAGTAGTAATACGCCGACTTACGCTACCCCGTTTTTCGCGAATACAATGATACGCGGTTTTTCTTTTTGATGGCTATGCGGATCCGCTTTCCTCCCTCTAAGTGTTCCGTTTACGATTGCTTCGAATATATCGTAAGGCAGCCTCACATCCCGGACGAATTCATACCATAATTGAAGAAGTGGTCGATATTGCCAAACAATTCAATTTAAAAGAGGATGCTAATGACGTTCAACAATTGCTGGATTCATCCAATCAAGAGGTAACAATTGACGAGCTTACAGAAATGGGTCACCATGAGCAAGACATTGAATAAATTGATTTGTTAGATCCAGCTGAATCAGAAAATCAAATGACGATTGCAAACCTAACAGAAATAGAGAACAGAACAATAATACCCAATGAAGATCGCTTTTCTACTACAAAAGGGGCATAAAAAGTTACTGAAATGCTACGAGGAAATTTTGCGTGAGAAGAAGAAAAACATAACTCATTAAGCGACGTTGTTTCAATATATGAAACCTTCGACATCAAAATAACTTAAATTTTACGTTGTATTTGTTACAGTTGAATCATAATATAAGCAAAAATTAACCCATTTTAATGAAAATGGAAAAACTAGGGCCTTTTTGAAACCTTACATAGAAAAAATAGAGGGTTAAATTCTGTCTAGAAACTGTCTAGCTTAAGAACTCCGCGGTGCAGTTTTACGTGTAACTAAATTTACTCACTTCATATATTCATTGTAAAGGTGCAATGATAAATTGGTCCTTATCCTCAACTTTAGTTCACCTATGCTCCACTTCAAGACGTTGTTCACCAGTGAAATCTGTAACAAAATTAATTTTATTTTTAGTCACAAAATCTATTAATTTTCCCTTTTTACTTTTATTTAATCGCGATTTCGATTTCAGCCTCATGCTTCAAGTTGGATTACGCATTCACTATGGGTTAGCGTAACTATTTGAGATGAGCCCTGAAATTGTCGTCTATTTTTCTGCAAAATGAAGAGAAGAAAGAACAATGCGCATTATTTTATTGTTTGAAAAATCTTAGTACTTCACAAAGTCAATTACAGATCTTCACACACTTGCTTAGGTATTATAATTAATTAAAATAAACACAGTGTATTTTTATTATTTTTTTATTATTTAGATGGATGGACGAGCCCACAGTCCACCTGGTGTTAAGTGGTTACCGGAGCCCATAAACATCTACAACGTAAATGCGCCACCCACCTCGAGATATAAGTTCTAAGGTCTCAGTATAGTTACAACGGCTACCCCACCCTTCAAACCGAAACGCATTACTGCTTCACGGCGGAAATAGGCGGGGTGGTGGTACCTACCCGTGCGGACTCCCAAGAGGTCCTACCACCAGGGATTACGCAAATTATAATTTTGCGGGTTTGATTTTTATTACACGATGTTATTCCTTCACCGTGGAAGTCAATCGTGAACATTTGTTGAGTACGTATTTCATTAGAAAAATTGGTACCCGCCTGAGATTCGAACACCGGTGCATCGCGCTCAACACGAATGCACCGGACGTCTTATCCGTTAGGCCGCGATGACTTCAAAATGTGTATGTTTGAAATAGCTAAAATTCATGAGACAGACGAGAGATTTTTTTCCTAACTGTTACTAGTAACCTTGGTGGGTTATGATAGTTTCAACTAAAGTGAAAAGACATCAAAATCATTTACATTATTGTTATTTTCTATTTACATCTGCTCGTCGAGGGAATATTATTTGTTGTTAATTTGTTAGAAAAATTAGAGCATATTCGCGTCTACATCTCGCCTCGAACATCAAAAGATATATTAGGAAAGAAAAAGCTCGAAAAAGATTAATTCGATGGTGGAATAAATGGTGATTTAATTAGTCTTTTCTTCCTGACGAACTATTAAACAATAAGTGATTATCACCGTCACAGTAGTCCGGCATTGCCTGTATGCTGCCTGCCGTAAAGTACTCTCCTAAAACTTCTTTTGATAACCAAAATCATTGCTCTAGAATCCACTGCTTGATAATATGGGGGATCATTTTAGAACAGCGTGCATTTAATTATTGATCCACGTTTGGCTGTACATCTACATTCGTAAGGGAAAGAAGTTATCAGTAGCTGAGGTTAAAGACAACTGCGTAAATCTAAGTGTAAGAACTTAATAACGAAAAACCAGACGTGATCTGGCCCATTAAAAGGAACAACCTATTCATGGATCGCTCAATATAACCTCTCAGATGTAACCGAATAGTGCGACCATGCGAGTTGGTAATAGTGAGTAGCCGTCGTTGAAGTCAGCAAGGAACGCATCGAGAATTATTGTTCGAGACTTATATCGAGGGGTGTCTTATCCGACCGCGACGGGGCAACGCAAAGTCGTCGTCGCCCGATACATGTCTTTATTATCGGATCCCCCGGATTAACTCTCGGTGCTTTTAGGCCTCTCAAGAACCGGTCACCGTCCTCATCAAACTCGTTGATTACGACAAAGAGTTCGACGAGCGAACTAGCCCATAGACACAGCCCACTGAGTTTCTCGTCGGATATTCTTAGGGGGTCGCGATTCCGATCCGGTGGTAGATTTTGCGAAGCTCTTGCTCTTGCTAGGGCTAGTGTTAGCAAATTCTCTAAGGTTAGCACGTGAGTTCTCCTACGCGTCCGCGGGTCGCTGGAATAGCCTCTAAGGCTACCAGCGATTAAGTAGAGGAAAAAGAGAGGGATGAAAAGCTATTTGGTTTAAGCTACATTTCGTTTAACACGCGACATTTATCTTTGTAAGTAATTGTGTGCGTTTTATTTGGTATTAGTATCAACAGTTTGGTCTTTTTAATAGAACTTCAATTAATTTTATACCCCATTATAATTCTAAAGCAGTTTTTTTATTGTTAGTTTTTCCAAATTTTAAACTTCAAATGGCTCTCCTGTAAAGTTGTAAAAACGTCGCTTAAACCAAATAGCTGTTCACCCCTCGATACGCTAACTTACACGCTAACTTACACAAACATTTTGGTTCAGAGAATGTTCAAATATCGTTTGTTCTATTATAGCTACCGCCGCACCACTTTATAGCTCGATGTTTTAAAAAATACAATTATAACTATACTCATAATTATGTATCACACGACCTTGTCTTCAATAAATAAGATGGACAACTTTTTGTGATGAAACGAGTAATAGACTATTTAACATGATATGAATCCAAGGATACCTCGCGTTGCATTTTTATATTGTAACTAGCGACCCGCTCTCGCTTCGCTTCGAAAACATTAAATTTTATTATTGAATAGTTGAGTCCCGCGATGTTACGCGCGGTTATCGTCGTATAGCGGGTGATGCCACGGGGCGAAGCTAGTCTAAGTTACTCCTTACATCATCAGCTACAAAAATTGTAAAAAATGTGATTTTGGTGTATGTACCGTATATATATATATGTATATATTCATATATGCATGTAGTAAAAAGCGGGTTATTTCAATATTACAAATAGACACTGCAATTTTATTTATATGTATAGATTATGTACGTCGCACGGAAAATAACGAAATTAATTCGAATAGAAGACAGGCTATTTCTATAAATTATACTTTTCGTTTTTGTCACGAATACATAATGCATTTAATTACTTAGTTATCGTTAATTATTATTCATTGAATAACTAATTTTTTGATTGCTTCTTTTCATCAAATGTAATGATAGATTCGCAACCAGAAGTAAAAACAATTTACAGAGGAACGTGACAGCTAAAACTAAATAAAAACCAATGAATAAATAAATAAATAATAATGAGTGGGAACAATTAACGTACTGTTATCCGGCCCTAATTTAGGATCCCCTGTGTTATGGGTATCAAACACTGATCAACACAGTTACGTTTAAATATATACACACAGTCTAGTGGATAATAATCACTCAGACAAAGAGCAAACCAGCCTGTTCATCACATAATGTTTGCCCGATGTGGGAATCGAACCCATGACCTTCGGTGCACCAATCAAGGCCGCCAACTACAGCAACACCGAGTCAGTCAAATTAATAATCACTGTCTTTGAAAATGAATTGCTGTTCGTTAGTCTCGTTAAAACTCGAGAACGGCTGGACCGATTTGGCTAATTTTGGTCTTGAATTATTCGTGGAAGTCCAGGGAAGGTTTAAAAGGTGAAAAAATATAAAAAAGCTCGGAATTATATAAAAACAAACAATGTTTTTTTCCTTTGATGTGTCCCCTTGATGTGTCTTTTATTTATCGATTGAGGCACTACGAAGTCTGCCGGGTCAGCTAGTTTTTAATATAAAAATGCGATAATAAGAGATTTTAAAATTTTCATTTTTCGTGTTACAAAGACAAACTTAGATTTGCAGTCGAAAAAGATTTACCTACTGCCCCTCGGTACGTTTTCTTAGCAACGACCGATGTTTTATTTGACATATATTAATGACGTTTAACTTTTTTTAAGTAGGTTTGTTTTACTGGTGGTGGTACCTCTTGTGAGTCTGCGCGGGTAGGTACCACCACCCTAACTATTTCTGCCGTGAAGCAGTAATGCGTTTCGGTTTGAAGGGTGGGGCAGCCGTTGTAATTATACTTGAGACCTTAGAACTTATATCTCAAGGTGGGTGGCGCATTTACGTCGTGGATGTCTATGGGCTTCAGTAACCACTTAACACCGGGCGGGCTGTGAGCTCGTCCAACCATCTAAGCAATAAAAAAAAAGTATTGTTGTATACAAATATGTATTTTTTACTATGTGAAAGATGCAAATATACTATTATACCTAGTCAGGTCATAAATTCTGTCACATGTTGAATGTAAAATAATTGAAACAAGTTAATTCATTATGTAACCATTCATATACCAAAATGAACTTAACAAAACATAGATTCTTATGACACTAAAGTTTATTCAAAATGACCTCCGTGATTTTGAATACAGACCTTCAATCTGCGCGGCCAGTCGTCCATCGCAGCACGAACGAGGTCCATGTCAATATCGGCGGCTGCCTTAATCAAGGATGTCTTGAGTGACTCCAAATTGGGATGAGGCTTTGAACACGCCTTTTCCTCCAAGTGTTGCCATATCTTGTAATCTAACAGATTCAAATCTGGACTGGAGGAGGGCCAGTCTTCGTGCCGGATGAAGTCGATTTCACGCGCCGCCAGCNTATACTATTATATTTTCAGACCCTTTACATGTGCTATACTCAACCGTATAACTTCCATGAATCCAGGTCAACGAGAAATGCTCTCTTGTGTAACTATTAGTGAAAAAATATGCTTCACCAAAGTTGAACATCGCCTTCACCAAAATATACTCGCCATAATATTTTTTTTTATCTAGAGCAAACAGTACCCACCCACTTGCAGAAACAGTTTCGTCGTTAAAGAAGAAATTAGCAATAGAGAATTGATTTTTTTTTATCCAGTACCATTTTAAATAACTTTAAAAAAAAAAAGGTTATTTATATTTTTTTAACTATGTTAACTTAGATTTTTGTTTGGTGGCCCGATTCTAACATTTTTTTAATTAGAAAGCTGTGCTGCTCGTGTTGTCCCAATTTAAATTTTATAAAGACCTGACAAGTTTTGGGAGTTCTCCTAAATAATGCATATTTAATTGACTTCGACTTCATTTATGATATTCTTATTTTGTTTTGTTGAAGTCGATTTTCCTTTTTATTAGAATTTTGTATTATACATATTTACTATATTTCAAGTCATTAGAACGATAGAGGCTATTAATTTCTTTAAAGAATACTGTTAAGAAATTTACGTAAATACTATTGTGCAGAGCGTATTGTCGGTCCGTCCGTACAGAAATGTGCCGCGCCGCAATCAAATCGAACTTTTTTATTGCTTAAATGGTTGCGCCACTTCGATAAAGCGGCACGACACGAGAACCCTCTCATCGTGGCCGCCGGTAACTACATTCCCGATCCTGCGGACAGAATGGAAAGCAGTCGACGTCGCCCAAAACACGTCATTTCGGATCCTCCCGATACACTAACGGTGCTTTTAGGTACTTCAAGCACCGGTCACCGTTCTCGTCGAACCCGTCGCTTGCGACGAAGGGCTCGACGAGAAATGGTTGAACGAGCTCACGCCCTACCTGGAGTTAAGTGTTTTTCGGAGCCCATACACATCAACAATGTAAATACCGCCACTTAGTTCATTTGCCGTATAATGTAAACAACTATTGCGCCGCAATTATTTTCCGTCGACATAATTTTTTATGTAGAATCATCTCACAATCCGTGTTGTTACCAAGTTGGTTACAAAAAAAGGCAGCCATCGGCCAACTAACCTTGATACATGAGATCGTAGGCTTAATTTTATTATAGAACTGCTGATGCTAATAGCAAAATTACGATTCAAATATCACAATCATATTAAATATTGTATACGTTACGTACGTACGTTAAATATTTTATACGTTTATACGTTATTATATTATACGGCAGAACCACCGACAAGAGGCACGTGGCGCGCGGCTGTACGCTTCACCGCGGGCGGGCGGCGGCTGTGTCGCGACCTTTTCAAGCTTTTCAAGCGATACTGATCTTTTAAGTAGATACAGTTTAAAATTAAGAGCTAGCCGCAACGCTGTTGGTCGCTGCCATTCCGGTGTGATTCAACCCTAACAGTACAGTATACATGCGTAGGTATATCAGTCTCTGATTCCCATAAGGAGTCCTAGTTTGGGCCTAGACGACTGTGTGTGACTTGTTCCCGGTTATTATTTTAATAGAAAAAATTGCTTACCAGTGGCATTGATCCGAAGAACTGGATTAACAGCCTCTTGAACTCCTTGTGGTTCATTGTGATAATTGACCTGTACAATGAATAATTTATTTTCTATCTGTAAGTATTAAAATTGTGAAACACTAAAATTACCAAAAAGGATATTTTTTGTGATTTTACAAAATTTCATGACAATAGGGTTAGCATAAAAGAATTGACTAAACATATTTTTATTGCCATGCTTATTGCCATTATTGTCGTCCCATCCTCCCGGTGCCAGCGCGCTAGAGTGATGGTAGCGTGCGGCGCAGCCTCAACCCCTCAGTCGCCCCGTGACCATCACCTGGAGGACACTGCTTCCTCACAGGGGTCAGAACTGGACGAACGTCCTCCTCCGACCTCCGGCTCGGCGGCGGGGGCACGGCGCCGAGAAAGAAGAAGAGCTCTCCCTCCCTGGTTCCGCCGCCTCCTTCTGCGAGATGGTGAACTCGCAGAAGTCGAGCATCGCCTGCCAGGACTCGTCGCTGCCGAGCATTGTAGCCACGACGTCCGGAAGCGACAAGTCCGGTCCTATTTTTTAAAGAGGACGCGGCGCTGCTCCGCGAAAACAGGGTAGTACGCGAGCGTGTGCGCCGCCGTGACCTCGTTACAGCCACTGCAGCACTTTGGAGTCGGCTCCCTCCGGGCGACGAGGTGCGGGTAGCGACCGAAACAGACGTGTCCCGTAAGAATCTGCGTCGCTCGGAAGGTGAGACTTCCTTGGTCGCGATTCACCCAGTCCGAGAGGACAGGGCGGATCGCCTCGAGGGCCGTCGCCCGTAGGCAGGGTCCGCCAACAGCGAGACTACGCCTCGAGCACGGCACGAGATTACAGCTTCCGCGCTTGAACTTCCGCGATGCCGGGCCGCGTCTCCCCTCTGGAGCGGAGGCCGCATGGCCACGCGTAATCCGCAGCGAGCGCCTCCGCTTCCAGGTCATGCTAAGGGCTCAGTCAACATTCTGCTGACCATTGGGTTTATTTTCAAACAGCATTTGATGTATAATATATGCTGATATTTAGTATTTAATGTAGCTGACATATAAAATAGATATCCTTGAAGTTATAATTTATTTTAAAATAAACCAAGAGTTTTGCATGCATTTCCATAAACTAGTCATGACTCATGAATTATTTATGTGAAAAGGAATCAAATCTCTTTTTAAATATACACACTAACCATTAAGCACCAAGAAGGTCAAAGTACATTAAATACTTGAAAATAATTTAAACCAGTCAACAAAAGCAACAATAATTAAAATTCTTTGTTTTACAGGGTTTTCAAGTTAATTTACATTATTTTTTGTTGTATTTACTTCAACTATACAGTTTAAAGTGTCAGTATAATGCATACTAATATAAAGCAGTAATTATCACCAAAGTACAANACCATTAAGCACCAAGAAGGTCAAAGTACATTAAATACTTGAAAATAATTTAAACCAGTCAACAAAAGCAACAATAATTAAAATTCTTTGTTTTACAGGGTTTTCAAGTTAATTTACATTATTTTTTGTTGTATTTACTTCAACTATACAGTTTAAAGTGTCAGTATAATGCATACTAATATAAAGCAGTAATTATCACCAAAGTACAACAAATCGTGATAAAACTAGATTTTTATTTAAAATTAATTCAAGAAATCTAGAGTGGATGAACTTTATAGATTTTTATTTAAAATTAATTCAAGAAATTTATAGTGGATGAACTGCCTTATTGGAATTAAAATTATAAATACAGTGCAACCTAACAATACAATACATAACAAATCGGAAGGGAACAAGTGAATACTCGTTATATCAAGTAATTTGGTAAACTGAGGTTTGTTTGATTAGGGTTAGGTTGGTCTACCATTTGTTATAACGAGGTAAAAAAAAATTTTATTCACCTCATCATTAAACTCATCTTGTTATAGCAAACAACTTCTACTAATAAATGAAAACACATTTTTATGAAATTACTATATATATTTTATATTTCAAAACAATTAGGTAGGTAACAATTTTTCTCAAACGCAATGAGACTGATTGACATAGTACTATGGGATTTAGGGTCATATTGGTGGGACTGTTATATAAAGTTTTTGGGTTGACAAAATTCATTAATTAGAGGTATTTACATCTTTTTTTTATAGTTGAAAATCTTTGAAAATTTAGTTGAATAAAGAGGTTGTTCGCAAGAAATCTTCGCAATGTTAAGGTATATTTTACATCAACTCTTATGGACAATTCAGCGGGTTAAGAAAAATTTGTTAAATCGAGGACATCATTATATTCAGGTTTGTTTTATTAAGGTTGCACTGGACTTAGTTGTAAAGGAAGTTTGTCAAAAATGCTAGTCATATTCAGTGTTTATTTTAAAATTATTTAATTCATAATAAATAATAAGACTATAGTTTCACACTCACCCTTCAATCAAAGTAGTCTGCTGTATTAGCCACAGATCACACATGGATCTGGATATTAGAGAGATGGCTATCAACGTCATGAAGGCACTTTCTTTGGTCCACCAGCCTGGCATCATAATCTTCCATAGTGTTTTAAATTCTGCTAAAAATCTAGCATCAACTTGTGCTTTTGGCCCCTTTTTGTCTTTTTCTTTGATCATGTACTGAATCTGCTCTTCGGGTGAAAGACGGCCGGGTTTGTCATTTCTTGATTTTCTAAAAAATATTTATTAAGTTAATAAGTAAGTTAAGTTTTGTTTCCAAGCATGCTTTATATGAATTATAAACTCTTAAAAATTCTACAACTGTGAGAATGTACTTGTTTTTATTCAAATAGTCCTAACATAATTTCCAAACATATGCCTGTTTTATTTTATGTGAATGAGGTATTTATAGATAAAGGAATGTTGGTTCTCAGTTTCTTTTTTCTTATTGCTTATTGGACAAGCTTGCACCCCATGGGGTGTTAAGTGGTTACCAGAGTTCATAGACATCTACAAGGTCAATGCTGCACCCGTCTTAAGACATGAGTTCTAAGGTCGTTTTTGCAGTACAACAGCTACACCACCCTTCAAACTGAAATGCATTACTGCTTCACAGCAGAAATAGGAAGGGTGGTGATACCTACCTGTGCAGGCTAACAAGATTTCCTACCATCAGTAAAAACACTGTGAAGCATTGCTCTTGTTAAGGCTAATGTTAGCTATTCTTTGAGGTTGACTCTGTCAACTCACTTGCTCAGAGTGTAACTGGAATAGCCTCATAGGCTCCTCATAGGCTCATACCAATGATTAAGCAGGGAAAAAATCAATTACCTATAATAATTCTATCATATAATAAAACTGATACAGAGAGAGTATAACAATTAAATGCACACTGCTAACCAAGGTTTATTTTTTATTTTTCCTGTATCATCTCATAGATATACTCAAATTCTCTCTGTAATGCGGGTACTAGACCAGATGTATATTCAAGAATTGAATTATTTCAGAAAATACAAAAATCTATATTGTAAAATTATTGTACTATGACCACTCTATTGTATTATGACTATTGTAAAATTATTTGGGTGATAATAAGATATTAATAGATTTAAACATATTAGTAAACTTAGTCTTTTTTACCACGTTTTAATTTTTCTCACTTCTAGGTCAAATTCCAACTTTATCATGATTAGCGCAAAACGTTTTAATTGGTCAAAAGGAAATTCAACATATAAATCTGAAGATTTTACACGCTTAATTGGGACTCAGAGTTTCAGGTATAGTATAAACAACTAAAGCAATGGAAAATTGTTCAAGAGGCCAGTAAACTCACCTTGACTTAAAGGAGTTCCGGATAATCCAAGCACCAAGAGCTGCGGAGACAGCAATACCGACTTTAACGTCTGTCCGTTGCGTTAATTTACTTAAATTCGGTGCCATAATTATTAGTTAAATAAATACATTGATTAACACACAGCACAACATTAACTAAACTTTTATTCTTGAAAATGGAAAGACAACACACGCACTATGCAACAATCTAGCACATAAACTAAATCATATATTATGTGTATAATCTATGCTCCTTAATTAATGTCCTAAGTCCTAATGTCAACCTTAGCTTCTTGTACTTTATTTTTTGGCTCCGGCACAGTTTGTGCATTAGCCAGTGTCAAGTAATAAAATATTTAAAATTCGCCGTTTCAATTAATTACAGTTTATCAATAATAATAAAACGAAAGAAAGTAATCGCAACATAACATAAATGATTAAAAACGAATTAAATTTACAAATGAGATGATATGTGATGAAATATAATCTCAGTAAAATTATGGTTATTTATTAAGACATTATCAGTGTACTTTTTGGAGGATCCCGAGAAGTTACGTCCAGCGGCTTTGTTTCATTTTCCCACAATTATGCACTTTCACAGATTCTAAGCAGTTAATAAAGCACCGTTATTACACATTTAAACCTGAAGAAGCACTAAATAGACAAAATAAAACAATTCACACAACTTCACTCCTTGCGTTCCCGCCACTTGGTTAGATAAACAGCAACTTGGCTGTGTCCCTGGCGTTGCTGACGTCCATGAGCGGCGGTGACCATTCACCATTAGTTGGCCTAAAGGTCTAGATACCAGGCCATAAACTGCAATTTAAAAAATAAAAATATCACCATTAGTGGGGCCTTATATTATCTGTCTACATTTGCAATAGAAAATCTCATTACTTCTATTTATTCAATTTATGTACGATTTAAGAGATGGCGTAATTTTTCATTTGTCCCAAGACGGCATTTAAACTAAGTTCGATTTTTAATAGGGAAGTCTATTGATTTTGAGAGGATATGATTTTTAGTAAACGATTAGTTTATTATCTTTAATTTACCTATCGTATAAAGTTGCATTCGGCTCTATGTAACTACCCTTTGATATACAACTGTTTTGTGGCAAATAAATTATTTTCATTGTACAATTTAGAACTATTTTAATATACAAAATTATCAATAAAAAACAACTTCAAAAGTTAAAATCTATTTATTTTTTGTTGCAGTCCATGAACACAATGTTTGAAACTAAAAACATAACATAAATTCTAATATTTACAATTAACTTAAATCATTGACTAGGAACTTAAAGCATATAATACTGAAATCAGTCTGAACTTCATTCGTCATTTTAATATTTAATCAACTTCTTCAACCGTTGGCCCTGAACGATTGGGCTGTGAATACTGTTGACTACCCGTAGCGTGGATCTTGCTCATGACTGGTGAACAAACTTGCTGAAGATCCTTTAGTTTCTGCTGAAATTCATCTTTTTCAGCTAGCGTGTTATTGTCCAACCATCGCAGGGCGGCCTCGCAATCGTTTCTTACGCTCTCTTTGTCTTGTGCGCTCAGTTTGTCACCGGCATCATCAACGGCTTGTTTAACGTTGAAAATATAAGTTTCCAATTGATTGCGTGCTGCTACCCTTTCTCTTTGTCGATCATCTTCTTCCTTATAGCATTCGGCTTCTGCTACCATACGGTCGATTTCAGCTTGAGATAATCGTCCCTTATCATTTTTAATAACGATGTTTTTACTGCGGCCGGTGCCGTTTTCTTTAGCGGAGACATTTAAGATCCCGTTGGCGTCGATATCGAATGTCACGTCGATCTTTGGGACCCCCCGTGGTGCAGGTGGAATTCCAGTTAGATCGAAGCGACCCAACATATTGTTGTCCTTGGTCATGGCCCGTTCGCCCTCGTACACTTGTATTGTGACTGCTGGCTGGCTGTCAGAATATGTCGTGAATGTCTGTGATTGCTTGCATGGAATTTTAGCGTTGCGTTCAATGATCTTTGTCATTACACCACCGGCAGTTTCAATGCCCAAAGATAAGGGAGCGACGTCAACCAAAAGAACATCTTGAATTTTATTGTGTTGCTCTCCACTCAAAATTGCTGCTTGTACAGCAGCTCCGTATGCTACCGCTTCATCCGGATTGATTGAAAGATTTAGTTTCTTTCCACAGAAGAAGTTTTGTAACATGCTCTGTATTTTTNTGATCTTTGTCATTACACCACCGGCAGTTTCAATGCCCAAAGATAAGGGAGCGACGTCAACCAAAAGAACATCTTGAATTTTATTGTGTTGCTCTCCACTCAAAATTGCTGCTTGTACAGCAGCTCCGTATGCTACCGCTTCATCCGGATTGATTGAAAGATTTAGTTTCTTTCCACAGAAGAAGTTTTGTAACATGCTCTGTATTTTTGGAATGCGTGTCGATCCTCCAACGAGAACTACGTCGTGAATAGAGCTTTTATCTAGTTTCGCATCTTTCAGAGCTTTCTCGACAGGTTCCAGTGTTCCTCGGAACAGATCAGCATTTAATTCTTCAAAACGTGCACGAGATACTCTAGTGTAGAAATCAATGCCTTCGTACAAAGCATCTATTTCAATGGTAGCTTCCGTACTCGATGATAATGTTCGTTTCGCCCGTTCAGCTGCAGTCCGAAGCCGGCGAAGAGCGCGAGGGTTGCTGGTTATATCTCTCTTGTATTTCCGTTTAAACTCTTCAGCTAGGTGGTTCACCAATCTGTTATCAAAATCTTCACCGCCTAAATGAGTATCGCCTGCAGTGGCTTTTACCTCAAATAATGAACCTTCATCAATGGTCAGTATGGAAACGTCGAATGTTCCACCACCGAGGTCGAAAATAAGAACGTTTCGTTCGCCTTTTAAATTTTTATCCAATCCATAAGCGAGTGCTGCTGCTGTCGGTTCATTTATAATACGAAGCACATTCAGACCAGCGATAGCTCCAGCGTCTTTTGTGGCCTGACGCTGTGAATCGTTAAAATAAGCAGGAACGGTGATTACTGCATCTCGTATTGCTGTTCCAAGATATGCTTCAGCGGTCTCTCTCATTTTTATTAACACCATACTGCTGATTTCCTCAGGTGCAAAACGTTTTGTTTCGCCTTTGAATTCTATCTGGATTTTGGGCTTTCCACAATCACTTATCACTTTGAATGGCCAATGTTTCATGTCTTGTTGTATCTTGGCATCATCAAACTTGCGACCGATTAGTCTTTTCGCATCGAACACCGTATTACTAGGGTTGAGTGCTACTTGATTTTTAGCAGCATCACCAATGAGTCTCTCTGTGTCCGTGAATGCAACGTATGATGGTGTAGTCCGGTTTCCTTGGTCGTTAGCGATGATCTCCACGTTTCCATGTTGCCAAACTCCAACACATGAATATGTAGTTCCAAGATCTATCCCTATAGCAGGCATATCTGTAGAATTCACTCAATTATCTCAAATTAATTTGTAGAAAAAATCACTTGTCTAAATTCTTCGGTGGTTACACCGTTTTACTTTTGCTCTCTCAGTTATCAGTTTCAAGTACNTTCCTTGGTCGTTAGCGATGATCTCCACGTTTCCATGTTGCCAAACTCCAACACATGAATATGTAGTTCCAAGATCTATCCCTATAGCAGGCATATCTGTAGAATTCACTCAATTATCTCAAATTAATTTGTAGAAAAAATCACTTGTCTAAATTCTTCGGTGGTTACACCGTTTTACTTTTGCTCTCTCAGTTATCAGTTTCAAGTACTGAATGTTTTCCCGCGCTCGCGGCATGCTTATATACTCTTACCAGCTAGCCAATCACGTTCGAGCACATTGTAGAAAATTCTCGAAACGCCTATCAAACTTCGGTGTGTAGAGGTGTGTTCTAGAAATTCTATAATTTACGCCAATAGTTTTCCTCCTTGTAAGACAGAACTAGATGTTAATGAGTAACAGAGATAGGAAGTCTTTTAGGGATATCATGCAGTAAAAATAACTGAAATAAGTTTAATTTTTCTTAATTTCTGACGGATTTTTTGTACGCATATAAAGTAACAAAATACTGTTAATGTGCGATGCTTGCACGTTCACGTAACTTTTTTATTTTATTTTTATTTGTTAATTCTTGGCATCTGTGCGTGGAATTTGAACATCGACATTGTTACATCCTTTGAAACCAGTAAGCCAGTTAACTAGAACAGTACGTCTTGTTCTTTAGGCAACAACAAGATCCAAAATTTCAAAACGTTGAATTAATATTTATCTCTCATAAAATCCGGGCAAAATTTTTCATTTACAAGCGCATAGGCTATTTATTTTTATCCAGCCACACCCTAAATATCTGGGGCGCTACCCTAAGACATGATTTTACCTGGTTTCGCTATCGTGGTTTTACATGCCTTAGCCGCGAAAAACCTTTTTTAGAAGTCGGTCTGCCATATTTCATTGTTGATTTGGCACACGGCGAATCTCGAGTCAAGTTTTATCGCTATCCACCACTAGAAGAACACTACGTAAGGATCACCTAGCTCCATCGTAGTGTTATAAATCAAAGTAAAAAAATCCTATCCATTCTGTGATTATTGTTCTTTGGTATGGTATCCCTGATCAGATTTTGTATGCTCTAGAATGTTCTTTATATGCTATCTCTTTTTACCTTATATCTCCATCTCGTGTAATTTGATAACTGCGTAGTTTGCAGTGTTGTCATATAATGAACGTGATTTTGACGACGTGTTTTGTTTTTATTTTATTTTAAATATATAGACACAAAAATTATCTGATATAAAGCAGATTTTAGCGCAACATTAAATTCGTTTGTAAATTAATTAGTAAATCACTCGTTTCGCACCAAACCAAAAATCTTCATGAAATGTATAGTTAAAAAGAAAATTAAATACTACCTATATTTTGTAACGAGCATTGACCTATTTTTCCACTTTTTTTAGGAGTAAAGTAAAGTAAGCCTTATTTTGCATCATAAAAAATTATGAAAAAAACAAGAACATTTTCTAACAGCAAAGTACAATATGCGGCTTTATTGTCTGGGTTAACTTTCACCTTCGGTTAAGTGCATTGTTATTGAAATTGAAGTTTAAAATTTGTTTGTCTACGTCTCAATGTTTCTTGGTATTTGACATAAATCCTATAATGTAAAAAATATTAACTTATAGTGATAGTTAAGTGTAATTATTTTTGCCAAAACTGGCTTTCCTATTTATAGCTTCTAATATTTTTCCAAATGACTCGATTGTAATACAATTTGTGTTGTAAAATTGTACCGAACATATTTGGAAATTTCAAAAAGAAATCTTTATTTTGTAACTGACAACATCGGCATGGAATTTTCCAGATCACGTCAATATTTGGCATCCTCGTCTTACTCGTATATCTGTTGCAGTCTAACTAATTGAAGAATGTTCCAGAATGATTACGAATCAAATTTGAGAAGGCCTCTATACCTTTCATCTTATGGGGAATTGAGTTCGGTGTTATAAAGTCGGGTTATAACATAACGATCGATAACAGATCGTTCGTACTCTTTATACCTATAGCGTTATTTCAGTCTAACAATCGATCAAAGTATAGAATGCTCTAGAATTATTAATCAGTAAAATTGGAACAGTACTCGCTATCGTTCTTCTGAACGCAAATCTTGCCGTCTTTATATAGTCGCGTAATAATAACGCAGATGCGCGGGGCGTTGCGGCAAACAAAGCGTATAAATACCCCTTGTAGCTTGATCCTCAGTTGAGATACCTTTTCACGGTGTAGTGGTGAGGTCTGGGTAGTTCTAGACTGGCTAATTGTAGCTGTAGGAGCTTAATCTAAAATGTAGGCATTTGAAAAGAACACCCCTTGCTCTTTTTCTTGATAATGAAACGATAATAGCGTAGATTTCAACAAGCTGAGAATCCCGTAAATCAAAATGGCGGAGTCATCGCCCGGTTGACGATTACTGCGTAGAACCTTTCGCGATATCGTAGAAACCTGGGGCAGAAAAAAGGTTGGAAAATAAATGAAGGTAGGTAAATACATAATCGTATTTCTGTAAATTCAAATTTAAAGAGTTCTAATTCCCTTATGAGCTTATTCATTTATAGGTAGGTAGGTACGACATAATATTAACTTTATTCAGATTTTATTTGTTATTGCCGTTTCACATTTCATTGATTATGTCATTAAATATTAATATGCACTAACACAATTGTTAGAAAATTCGAACACTTCAAGCGCAAATGCTAGTTTAGATTTTATGAATATTGCAAGTTTCATTAGTTCCAAAGTAAAATTTAATAGAGGTCCATAGTACGTTACATACTTTTAGATTTTATTGTAGAATTCCAAACGTTTCCAAAAATGATTCTGACTAACAAATAACCTACATTTAAAAAAAGAAAAAGCCTAGGAAATTTGTAGAGGTTAATACAAATTACAAATTGAGAAGAAAAAAATAGACCAAAGACCAAAATCAAATGTAAATCTGGAATCGCCTAAAAAAAGTGTAACTTTAAAATATATGATAATAATAATAATAATAATAAGTTTATACGGCAGTTGTGCTAAAACAAAGGTAATTAATTATTTTCTATATCGTAAAAGTATATCGTTATTATGAAAACAAAGATCTTACACGAGTCTGATGAATTTACATGTTAGAATTATAATTCTATATTACAAATCGCAATCTTTTAAAATTGTTTGGAATACGATTCTGAAGACAAAAGGTTGTCTAATCTAAGTTGTAAAATATGCCAAAAAATCTACGAAATATTTCAAATTATCAGTCTGAATATGTAACCGAAATTGAGAACATTATAGTTTGTTAAAAACGCTACCGTTGACTTCATCTAAATCAATTAAAATGACATTCAGTTATTTGAAAGGGTCGGTGAAATAAAAACCTTGTAAATTACTACTACTAATCACTTTTCTTGAATTCAAAATACCTGCAATAGACATGGATACATTTAACTGATAAATATTATTTTTCCTAAACAGCTGCTTTTTCGCCTGGTTTCAATAATTCGTAATTACCATCAACCGCAAAACCTCTTACGTTATTGTACAAATCGAAACGTTTCTAGAAATAGATTTTTGTAGGCAACTTTTATTTATAAGCATTATTCTACTAATGTAAAACGCTTGGTGTTTGGTAGGGTAGCTCTTTGCTTAAGAGTGTACATAGAAATAGTGAGATGTTATCGGTTTTATACACGTGGTGTTTTAAAGGAACACATAATTAAGGTATACGCATGTTAAGTGTGCTAACTAGACATGGAGTGCTAACGATAAACAAAATTACCACAGCGTCATTCCTTGCAGGATTGCCAGAACCACTGTTTCTGTTTACCTATTTAATTAAGATTCCATTATTATTTTATTATGGTTTATGTTCGTATATAATATATTTACACATGTATACTATACAACATTTAAAATATTTTTAGAAATTTTAATTCTAATTCATTAACAAGATGACTCTAGATTGTACAAAAAACAGTCATCGAAACCTGGAAATTTTATCCAAATATCGAAAATTTTATCAAATAACTAGTTGACCCGGCAGACTTCGTAGTGCCTCAATTGATAAATAAAAGACCTAAATTTTTGTATAAAATAAACTTAACACAAACAAAAGGAATCCGTCCGACAGGGGGGACACATCAAAGGAAAAACAAAATTGTAATTTTTATTTAATTCCGAGCATTTTCATAGTTTTCTACTTTTTAAACCTTTTCTGGACTTCCACAAATAATTTAAGACCAAAATTAGCCAAATCGGTCCAGCCGTTCTCGAATTTTAGCGAGACTAACGAACAGCAATTCATTTATATATTCATTCATTTATATAGATTTCCGAAATTCGGAGCCGCGTCGCAGTAAAAATGAAATCTAATATATTTTTCAACTCAGGGACTAAACTTGTTAGAACTTAGAATAAGAATTTTAGATTCAAAACAGATTAAAATTTACTTATCGCACATGATTTGTATGAGATTCTAATACACTTCATCAGCCACAAGTGCTTCAAATTGTATTGATGTTAACTAATATTTCAAAACAATATTACTACTTAATTACCTAAGGTACTTATACATATTTTTACTAATACACTCAGCATAATTCCGAGTATATAATATGTTTTCTGAGAATATTTTAATTGCATCTAAGGTTTCCATTCACAATTATATTGGCTAAATCATTCATCGAAATATAAAAAGAATACAATGAGCACACAGAATACTTACTAGACTGTAAACATACGTGATGCAATATATGTGTATGTTACAATAATAACTTGAAAAACGAGAGTGTAAGAATATATTTGTAACAGGTCTAAGCAGGCCTATGCACAAAAACTGTCAAGTTATATGGATGAAAATAACATAACAATAAATTAATGAATAAATTAGTGAACATAATTGAAAACTACGAAAGAAAAAAACTGAAATGAACCATTTCTTATGCATTTTAAAATACTATGCACTTAATAAGAGATAAAGCAGTTTAAGAGTGGAAAAGACGTTGAAAAATATTTAAAAACAGATGTGAGAAACATCTAAATTGTAATAGGTATGTTACTGAACAATCTACAAATATATTAAGTTGCAGTGGATATTGAAACTTGAAAACCCAAAAAATAAACAATTTTTTTTTTAGGTTAAATGCAGTTTCTAATTGAACTAACAACAAGGTAATTAAAATTAAATCTGTGTGATTACAATCACCATTATTCTGAAGATACGGTGTCAGAATTTTTTTAAATGAGAAATAAAGTGAAGATATGGATTATGAAGCATAGGAAAGTGACTAAATAAGTTAAAATGTTGCCGTACTAAGCCGAAAAAAACATTTATCAGATTAAAAAAAATATCTCATATTATTAGAAAGTATGAATAGAAAACTTAAAATGAAAACTTGATTTCAAACCTAAGATGCTTTCACATGGATAAAGTTACAGTAGTATTATTCTGTTGGGATTTACAAATATAATTAGAAGAAATAATAAAACTACAGGACGTTGCTGAAAAAATTACATTTTTGAGTACATACAAATACTCGTGGGGAGAAATTTTACTAATAGACAATTTTATGGTTTGGATTGAGAATACACCTGAATTTGACCAGTTTAATAGGACCCAACTGAACAAAACCTTTCAAGGATTTTAGATTTTAGGATTCTCAAGGAAGGACTTATTTTGACTCTTATATTTTTGGAGAAATTTAGGCTGCATATCAGATCAGATAAGAAGAACACAAGCCACAGACTGATACATCCAAATTTTAATTCAAGTATAATTTTCAATAAATTAATGTAGCAGATCATTTTCAAAGTGACAAGGCATTGTTAGGAAAAAAGCGTTAGTAATTTCTCATAGTCTTTTTGTAATGCCCGACATCATAATCTTATTAGGTCTAATCTTTTTCATATTATGTAATCATAAATCTAATCGATTAATACGTGTCTTAGACTAATTTGCAAAACAATTTAAAAATTTCTGGGCAGTCAAATGTTTTTTATGTTTTTAGGTGAACGAACGAAACAAAAATATCTAACAGTCCAAAGTATATCTAATACTTTAATACAAAAAAAAAATGTTAGCATAGCACAAGTAATAAAGCATATGTAGCACAAGCCAGTTGAATAAATATGAAACGAAATATAAAAATCGATAATAATGTTGAACAAAATGCTTGAAAAAATCCAAAATGAAAGATGCTAAATATCGGATATACGTTATGATAAAAGCGTAGTTGCAGCAGCTTTAATTTGTTGATACTTTCGGATCTAAATAAAAGGAATAACGGAACTTTCTTTCCCAATCGAGACTTAAATAACTTAACAAATTCATTAAAATGTCCAATTATGAAACAAACTACAGTTTCTAGATAGGTAAATACAGATTTAAGTTGTTTAGCACGTATTGAAGTGAGGAAATATTAAAAACCAAAAAATGTTACTATTATTAAATTTCAATATTAGCAGAATTAAGATTAATAATTAATAATTCATTACTTATTTCATTAAATCTTACAGATCTCTGGTATTTCAGCTCTACGTGACAATATCAAATATTTATTCGCGAACTATTATTAAATTTATGTAATACCAATATAGTTTGGCTCATTTACTACTCGAGATTCGAAGTGCTGACCCAATAAGAGAATCATCGAAAGAAGGATTAATTTACAACGAATAAGTGTTGATTTGTAATAAGTTTTAAAAAGGTGTGGAAATTACAAAACAATGTTTTGACAAAACATAGATGTCTGATGAAAATATAGAGCGTTTTGGACTGGATATGGAATAACTTCAAAGTAGAAAAAACATTTTAAACCTGTCTGGAATAGTCAATATTTTTAAAAGAAATGTTTTAACAACTGCAGATTTTGTGGAAATCCGTATAACTGAAAAAAAAAGTAATGTAAAACGAATATAATTCTAACAAACACAATTGTGAGTAAATAGTAAAATAAAAATCTAAAACAAATTAATAACATTGAAGAGACTAAATAAATTCAGAAGGCTAAAGATTTTTCATAATTTTCCCTGTAGGTGAAGTTTAAAATGGAACGAAACAGAATTAATACGAGAATTCCATAAATTTACAATTAGAAAATGCCAGAAATGAAAGACAAAACATTTTATCCATTAGTCTTATTCGTTGAAGAAAACTAATACGTAATACAGATGTTTAAACCCGTATATCCCTAGCCTAATTTAAACCATGACATATATTATGAAAACTTTATAAACACAAAACAGCAATAAAAATTAATTGGTTTCTTTTTTTTTACAATCAAGATCATTATCGTCATCGTTAGAATGAATGGTAATTCGGTACCATAACTAATTCTCAACAAGCTGGGTGAGCTCTAACAAGTTGACTATTCGTGGGTATCGGGTAGTTCAGAAGCGAATTTGAAAAAGTTTTAAATACCTGAGTAAATCGCATAATGCACGGTTAAACTGGATAATAAAATGGAAATGATTTTAAAAGAAGGAGGTTTCGACATTTTA